CACGTATGTCCTTTCTGTGAAATTTAAACGTTAAGGCCCGGTCCCACTGCACTTACGAATGCAAAGAGGATGTAAAACGTAAAAAAATCTTGCCATCCGTTGGAAAACGTTATGCATCCGTTGTGTACTCATTGCATACGTGTTCCATACGCTCTATCCATCGAGCATCCGTCCACTGTGATTTCATCCGCGCAAAAAGTTTTGAGCTGCACAAAACTTTTAGAACGGATGAACTTCCGCCGTGTACGATGTAAATCCGCGACAAATACGAGCAACAAACGTTCTATGTCCATTATCATCCGTTAAACGTCCGCTGTATCCTCTCTGCATCCTCTGGGCAACCTCGCAACTCACATCCGCTGCAGCTGAAAACGGAAATAGGGAGGAAAGATAAGGTACATGGAACGTCTATACATCGTTAGTAGCACGGAAATAGAAAGGATGTAAGCGTATGCATCTCGTATATAAAGTATTCAAAGCTGTCATCCACTTCCATCCGCTTTCATCCGCTAGGCTTCCGATGAACATCCGTTTAACATCCCCGCTACATACTACCCACGTCCATTATTTTCCGTTCTATTTTCGCAAATTTTCGCAAATTTTGTCCATTTCTAGAGCGGATCGAAACGGATGGAGTCACCCCCGAAATTTTGCTCGTCCGCTGTGTCCTTTATGCATACGTTTTGCGTCCATCGGCCAGTGGGACCGGGCCTTAAGCAGTGTCCTAGTGTTTAAATTATGCAAGGAAACCCGTTTACTTTCTAAACATCACTGTCAGGCACTATTTAGTGAGTAAGTGACTTTTTTTCTTTGGTAATATAACATACATAAAATGAGCTGTATTGAAAGGGTGCATGAGCATTTTTGTTTGTCTACATCAATAACCCACTTCTTTTAATGGCCAATATTAAAACTGATTGAATCTTTGCGCAGCACAAAACGTACACCATTCGGTTACAAAGGTCTGAAAATAGACTATACTAAAAGGATTGCAATCCTTAAAGTCGATCGATTCGACCACTAACGGTCGATGATTTCCCCACTAAAAGACATTTTCAAGCCCTTTCGTTATGAGGGAAGTTCTAAATTAGTATTGGGGTAGGTGCAGGGAATTGGAGACCGCAGGGAATTGGAGACCACCAAGCTTGAACGCATTACTGTCTGTCCTTGTCGGCTCCAATATTGCTATAGCGCCATTTGTGGCCTTTAACAACACTACTGCATTTATCCAATTCATTTCGAAGACTACAATGTGCTCTTTTTCCGAGAAAATTGGCATAATTGACCAAGGTAACCAATTGTTATCGTTAAATTTTGCTCTGATATAAAAACACAATTTTCACTGAATGTTGTGGTGTATGCAGATATTTCTTAAAAAGTAGTTTTAAAATGAAGTTTATGAAGTGTGCCAACCATCACAGAAAACTTATGGCCATTGTGTGTTGTGAATGGGTGTCTGATCAGAAATGTGTGCAGCTTATGGGGGACACCAGGTCAAAGATTTATTATTATTATTTTTAATCATTTATTGGTATATAATGATCGACCAGCAGCACAAGGCTGAAAGGGTCAATTTACAAAGGTACAGTGATGTAAATTATATACATGTACAATAGTATTACGAAACGTAGTAAATGAATCTGTAACATAATGACAATACAGCAGAATTATATTGCGTTCGTTTATGTACATTAAGTGAAAGGATGTACTAGCAGAAGATATAGAAGAGTAGGGGAAGGTATATGGCTCATGAAAGTGAGAGTGATAAAGCGAGTAGAGTAGAGAGAGAGAGGATGGGAGAAAAGGGGAAGTTCAAAGAGAGAAAGGAAGAGAGAGTGAGAGAGAGCAGGGAATGGAATGATCATTATTAAATAAACATATTATTCCTAATTACATGTAATACATTAATGAAAATTAAGAGAGTCAGATTTCGGCGAGACAACAATAATCATCATACAAGTACATGCTAGAAGACAGAAAAGGGACGGTTAAAAGAAAAAAAGAAGGAGAGAAGTTAGAAGAGAGAGAAAGAGGGAGGGAGAGAGATGGGGGTCGTTTGTTGTGAATGTCGAGTATGCCGAGAACAGTCAATGACCCGATAATGGTTGGTTAATTGTCCATGTACAGAAATATTTTGGGCCACATTGTTTTAAAATCGTTTCAAAATTACAGTAAGTTCATTGGCTGCATATATCTCTTTCAAAAAGTGTTTGAACTAACCATAACAATCCCATTTTCATTCAAATTGTATTTAAAAATGTCTTGATTTGTAACTGTCATTGTTATCTTCTTAATCAGTTACATCATGCCCACAATTTTGTTACCAAATAAAGAGAAGAAGTTACTGAAGAGAATACAAAACTTTCTGTATGTGTAACATTTCTCATGTTTGTGTAAATTATGTAAATGTGCTTAAGGGTCTCCAATTCCCTGCACCTACCCTATCTTTCAAATGCCGGTGAAATCTAACCCTTTTCTTTTTTTGGCCTGCAAGTTGGGACATGAAATTATGTACATCAATATTTCCTCAAGTATTCTCTCTTTTAATCAGACTGCATCATGACTCCTTTAAAACTAAAAACTAAATTTAGCCATAGGACTCAGAAAGCCCTTTATCCTTGTAAATAATTGATTTAGAATATATATAGTCCCAAGCATGAACATTTAAGCTGATTTTCTTTAGAGATCACTTTTTTTAGGGGGGAGACGATGAGAGCTCTTGAATAGAAATTTATAGTTCTTTTGGGCAATCCCCAGGCATATTTTGTTTGTTATTCTCTCTTTTTTAATCAATATTGTTATTATTAACATCAATTTTGGTGATAATAAATAATAATAATAATGAACGTTATTTGTATAGCGCATATCACTAACACGGTCCCTATGATGTGCGTATCCAGAGTCAGACCATGGTCTCGTGAGGGGCATCACATTAATTTTCAATTTACTCTGATCCATATACTTTTAGCAAGGAGGACCCTGGTTTACGTAACAAGGGTGGGGGTCGGCATCTTCCATGGTAAAAATGGTAAGCCTTTAGAGAAATATGTCAAAAAGTACCTGCGATTTATAATTACCAATGATGGATGTGGGGAGGGAGGATGTCGGAAATGGAAATTTGTCAGGGGAGGGGGGAAATCACTCCCATTGCCCTATGTCATATACGCTAATGAGAAGTAAGTGAGATGCAAATTTCTGCTCGAATATAAATCATCCAAAAATGGCGTTCATTTCATAAAATGTTCGTGGAGAAAAATTATACAAATTAAGTTTCAAATTCTAAGAGATATTTCATGAAATCGTTGTGTATGTGAATCCTACTCGTGATGTACGTACAATCTAATCTTGAGTTGGGCATCGTATGTACTTTGAACATTGGCTAAAATTCATTCTCGATTCATTATCAAAGTTCATTATAGTACAGCAGCCTCGTTAGCGCAGTAGGCAGCGCGTCGGTCTCATAATCTGAAGGTCGTGAGATCCTCACATGGGGCATACTGCTTTATTTTTTCGCACACTGTCAATTATTCTTTTTTTCTCACCTGAATTCCTGCAGTAGATTGATTGTTCGAACCAGTAAAATAAAAACAACCTCACAAAAAACTTGGTAGAAATCATCTTCAATAAAAAAAAAACACACGTCTCATTTTGCACATGGTGTATGTGTTGAACACATGGTTTTCTTTTTATGCTCATTACTTAGCCCTATACATTTTCTAGCAAACTAGTTTGGCACATGAACATGTATTGTAAGTTTTGTTGGATTATGTGAGAATCTTTAGCCTATACCAGAACTCGAGCTGAGCATTGAAGCCTTTTTAAAGACATATTCTTCACGTTCTCATCTACAGGTGACCACTAAAACAGGTCTTACTGTAATTATATTCGTACTACATGACTTGTGTAATGAAATATAACATTTGAACATTTAATATAATTCATAGCCCATATAGACCCCCTTTTTAGTATTGTTGGATTGATTTGTTCTTTGCCAACAGTTTTTTTTTAAATAGATAGTAATATATATCTTTATAGATTATTATCATTGTGTGCAAGTCCGGTGCTTTCGGCCAAATTTCATCTTCCTCCGTGTTTGTCGATGTATCTTTCATTTATAAACTGAGGTTATGTCATTTAATAATAATAATAATAATAATAATAGCTAGTTTTTATATAGCGCTTTTCAGTTCCGAAGGCCCTCTCAAAGCGCTTTACAGAAATATATATATTATTACCCCGGTCATCGGATTCAGGCTTACCCGCACACAATGTATGCACATTCTCCACTCCCTGGGGAGCATTCCAGCCAGGCGTCATTTTTACTGATATAAGCTATATGGCTATGAGTATGACTGATTTTCATAGAAGAACGCCGTCTTTTATTATCCTGATCCCCGATGAACGCAATATTATAGCTAATCTGATCTAGACCAGGCCTTCTCAACTAGTTTATTAGAAGTGCCAAAACAAAAATGTATTGAGGTTGAAGTGCCAACCTGTATGTTTGGTGACTGTGATGCGAGGGAGCGTAGCCGATACCGGGTGGGGTACAGGGGTGAAACCCCTGGAAGCTAGTGGATTTCAGGGCTTTTTTAAGGCCAAGATGTGGCATTTTTAACACCTTTCTATTCCATAAAATATAAATCATAATTTCATATTGAAGTGAAATAATTAGTACAATTCCTGGGTAAATGGAAGTAAATTTATATGTAGTTAATGTGGTGCAATAAAGACGGAAAATGTCAAAATCAAGTGAAAATCAAACAAACAAAATGGCTTGGTTACATTTTGGACTCTACTTCGACTGCGACTTTTTGATTTTGCTGATTTTTTTTAATTTTAAAATATATTTTTTTGATTTTTCTTTCTTTAATTTTGAATTTAAATTTTCATTAATTATTTTATTAATTTTTTGGAACAGCCGCGCGCCACTCCAACTGACCGCATGCGCCACAAGTGGCGCGCGCGCCGCCAGTTGAGAAGGCCTGATCTAGACAATGATATCTATTCAAAAAAATTCATGATACGAAATGGTATATGAAATCAAATGTGGCCTCAGGATGTGCCTTAGATAAATGATCAAACTGCTTATTTTCTATAATTAGATCATAAAAATAGGTTATATAACTTGATTTGAAATTCTCAATTTTTGTCATTTTATCATAAGTGAAGGATGAAGAGAAAAGGTGCCAAGATCACACAGGCCAAAGAGGAAAAACGTATAATTAGAAAGATTTGAGATAATAATTGAGGATATGGTGGCTCTGAAAAAGCCGTTTGTAGTAAATATGGCGTTTGCCATTCAATTTACTTGGAGGTGGTGTACTTGGTGACAGCCTTGGTGCCCTCAAAGACGGCGAGCTTGGCCAGCTCTCCGGGGAGGAGGAGACGGACAGCGGTCTGGATCTCTCGGCTGCTGATGGTGGACTTCTTATTGTATTTGGCAAGACGGGAAGATTCACCGGCGATGCGCTCGAAGACATCGTTGACGAAGCTGTTCATGATGGACATGGCCTTGCTGGAGATACCAGTGTCGGGGTGGACCTGTTTCAGAACCTTGTAGATGTAGATTCCGTAGCTTTCCTTTCGTTTCCTCTTCCTCTTCTTATTTCAAGCAGCGCCGCTGACCTTAGCCTTCCCGGCCTTCTTGGCTCCCTTTCCGCTTGTCTTGGCAGGCATGATGATTACTTGATTGTGTCGAGTAGATCAACTGATGAAACCACTAGCGGAGCCACGGTATTTATAACGATCCGCGGGGCCGGGCGCACGCACTGGTATAGTCCAGAATCTACACGGTCCTTTATAATTTCCCTACACACTTGATTCAAGCCGTCGAAGATGGCGTTATTAACAAACTTATAATAATGCTCACAAGCTTCACCGGGCGGCGCATATTTTTTTTACACAACTGTTTTAGCCATTTTCGCGAAAAAGTTCCAAGAAGTGCTCTGGAGTCTAAGTCGTCAGCGCACTATGCAAGCACGTACACCCAGGGAAGGGAAACTGATAGAAAGGGAAAAACAAGGATAGTGGAGATGATATGGAGAAGGAAAAACAAGGAAATACATAAGGAAAGAGAAGAGGATAAGTCAAAGGAAGAACATAGAAATACATAATTGAAGAGCTAAGAGCTAGGATCATAGACTAAGGAAAAACAGGGAAATACTTAAAGAAGGAGAAAGGAAATCTATCAGATTTAAACAAGGAATAAATGACGAAGGAGAAAAGGATAGACTGAAGGAGAAACAAAGAAATACATAAACAAAAGAGAAGAGGTTAGAATGAAGGAGCACAAAAGAATTACATAACGAAGGAGAACTGGAGGATAGATTGTGGAAAAACAAAGAAATATATAACGAAAGAGAAAAAGGATAGATTGAAGATAAAAAAAAAGTACATGACAAAAGAGAAGAGGAAAGATTGAAGGAGAACACAGAAATACATAATGAAAGAGAAGAGTGGATAGATTTAACCCGAAACAAATAAAGAGTATATATAAGGGTAATAAGTCGTTTGTACAGTATATTTGACTGAAGTGGCTAAACAGTTGTGTTAAAAAAATATGCGCCGCCGGGCGTCCTAATTTAATGATCACGCCATCATCGGCTGGTAGCAAGTAAGTAGGGAGAGGTAGCGTTGGTGTGGTGGAGATCAAAATTAAATAGGCCAGAATCTGTACTAGAACTGGTATAGTCCAGAATGTCGCTTATTCAAAATGATACGCTCCAAAAATCCTTTTGAAATCTTGAAACCTTGAACCTTAAAAATCTAGGTGAGTACAGGGTGTCCCTAAAGAAGGAAGCCCAAAATGTATTGTTAAATTTCTTAATAATGTAACATACCCTTTTGCTCATGAACACATCATTTGAAAGCTAGTCTTTCATAGTCTTCTAGCCTTTCAAATGAGATCATGATCACTGAATCACGCATGACCGATTCCAAAGAATCTGAAGTGGAACTGTGCGAAATCAAATTGTCCAAAATAAGTGGATCGCTATCACATGCAAGAGACTTTTTCATGATAAGTACAATATACACATTATACAGAATCATTATTCTCACCGGCATGCTTATGATCCCCCCCCCCCCCCTTTTTTTTTTTTTTTTTTTAGGGAGACCCTATATTATGGATCTGCCAGCTTAATAATATATCAACCAAAGGTTTGGGCAAACTTAATCACTATACCAGCGTGAGGCTATTACAAGGGAAATATGATTCAGTTGAATGAATAGGCTTAATAGCAAACTGCAGTTGAGTGATCAAGTTTGACCGTATTCTGGCCGTTGTTGATATATCATTGAGTGCGTGCGAATTCACCTACCAGAAACTTTGGTGTCCTCTACGACTCGCGCACGTACGTGTTAATTCTTGTGGAATTTTCCATCATTGAAAGCAACTTTAAGTATTAGTTTGGTGTGGTTTGTGAAATCTTATCTTCTCTACGTTACAGCTTGCTTTTTGGTACAGAACAGTCGCAGGTAGTAATAGGTAAGAATTAAAAGAACTATCTGTGTGTGTAGATCGTGGCAGAAGTATAAGTTGATTGCTTATAGTGAAGGTTACATTAATTCTCAACATGTAAATCAAGGTAAGGTTCAACGCCGTTGATGAAATCTTGTAACTCACTAAAGCTTTAATGATGTATGGCCATAACCCGCCGTATGTCGATCTTGTGCACGTCCTCGTCCCGAAGCTGCGTTCGGGTGGTATAGGACAACTCCAGCGATTAGTAAATCCTTCTTACACTTGTCTTACGATCCCTCATGGGCGGCTACAACCTCCTCACAAATATGACCCCCTCCCCCCCCCCCTTTTTTTTTCAATTTTCGTTTTACCTGAAAGACTCTGTCAGGTGCACCCATAACCCCCATGCAGGAGCCTATAGCGGTGTACTGCGCCAGACGGATCTATAGACCACCGCAATTCATTGAGTAGCCGTTCAATGTCGCAAGAAGCCCTTCGCTATGTTTGTAATAAAGTACACTACCCTCCAAAAGTTTGGCCCATTTATCATCAGATTTGTGGCACTGTTAGAATTTCGTATCAAACTGAAGAGTAAACATCAGCTTTCGAAGTTATTGTAAAGCGTTTCAGCATGACTGTGTGTTCATGGTGCAGTCAGGTGTTAACAAAGGCAACCTACCCGGCCCCAATATATTTATCTTTAGTGGAGTGAGGAAACCGCTGGTTTTGGTTGGTTTGTGCATTCTACAAAACCAGACCCTTGTTTGTACCGATGAAATGTATTCACTAATAGGCAATAAGCATCCCTTGGTCATACAGGAAACTAGTATTTTCATCTTAGAGACACATCAATATTTGGAAACACCGAAATGCGTTTTTCTTCTCGTTTTCACGTGAATTCATACTTTAATGATACATTCTTTGCTTTTCGGATATTCTTACAAAGAAAAGAATGACTAATTGAATGTCCGCATGTCATGAAATTCACATTTTCTGTATTTCCAAAGTTTTATTAAATCATACCTCAAATCATAAAGACTTCTAATAATGAATCTACCACCGGCATATCCACGGCAGCTTGTGAAGGTAGTCACTCGAAATATGACCCACCATAATCCTGTCCGATCAGAATAGTCAATGGCAAAATGCATTTTACCATTGTCTTTTCTGATTGAGAAATAATATTTGTTCATTGATTAACTGTGTATTACTATTGACCGGTAAATTACACACAAAATCCCATTGACTTTGCTGAGCGGTCAATAATATTTTTTTCACCCGTAGTTTTGTTGGATTAACAATTAAAATTCGAGGGCAATAACAAATGAAAATTGCTCTGCTTAGATGTCTGATACAGTTAAGAATAATTATTATCTACATAAGGCATCCAAGTGGTAAAATAAATCAGTGATTCAATATCTTTAGCGTAGTACTCGGATGACTGACCAATATTGTTTTCGTATTGCTCAGTCATTCGGGAACTTCTACTATCGACATCGATATCACACGAAAACAAAGCCATATTTACCGAGGTAAGTCAAATATTGATATTTCGCTAGTCAGCCTAATATAGATAATACTATATACCTCTCTTTAGAAATCTAGCCATCTGATTGGTCGAAATTAAAGTCGTGATTTAAGCCATTCCCGTAAAGAAACGAATAATGCCAGTAACGGTTAATAGTTCTTGAATGAGATTCCCGAAAGATTCCGGGTACCGGGAAAATAGTAAAATTTTGATGAGATCCGAATTGGTGTATGTGTTAAAACTTACTCTGTGCGAGCACGGATACCATACAGTGCTTTTTGTCTGCGATTCCCAAATGATTGTAACATTTAAATATCTTTCCAGCGAAGATTAATAGACAGTACGTGTTTCAGATTTTCTGTGAAGTTTTTTAACCAATATTTACTCAAGAAAAGGATAAGGTAAGAATTATTGGCAGATTTTTGTGTCAATCCGGTATATAAAAGATATAAAGACTGCTTTAATATTCGAGGCATATTTGTTCTTATAGGCTCTCGGGGACGTAACATCCTGTCATCACCCTCGGCCCCTCATTATATCTACAACAATTTAAAAAAAAATAGTATATGGCTTTGTTTTCGTGTGATACAATAATATATTACTCTCGCTATGAAAATATTGGACTCGTTTCCGACTCATTCAATATTTCATAGCTCGAGCAATATATTCTTGTATCACACTCAAAGCCATCCGATATTATATAATCATTATTATTGTTATTATTATCATCATTATTAGTAGTAGTAATAGTAGAAGTAGTAGTAGTAGTAGTAGTAGTAGTAGTAGTATCATCAGCAGCAGCAGCAGCAACATTATAATCAATGTCGGTAGTAGTAGTAGTATATCTGCAGTAATATAGGCTAAGTGGTAGGGGTATCATTCTTATCCTTATATTCGTTATATTGTAATACATGTCCCCAGGAGTATTGCTATTATCACATTGCCACACCCAAGATGTCTACCAAAGCTCTCAATTCGTTGCTGAAAGTATAAAATAAAGTAGAATATAAAATAGAAAAGAATATGAAGTAGAATATAAAATAATACGTGTTAAGATAGTATAAAAGATAGAATTATAGAAAAGAATATAAAGTAGACTATAATATATAAAGCAGAATATAATTATCAGAATATATTGCAGTCCATAATAGTGGATGTAATCCTGCGTCAAGTAATGATCCTCACCGTCAACCTTGTACTCTGACGCCGTAAGATATCATTCTCATGAGGAGAGTCAAATGATGCGTCAGTCATTGACGCAATCCTGCGTCAAGTAATGATCCTCTCCGTCAACCTTGTACTCTGACACCGTAAGATATCATTCTCATGAGGAGAGTCAAATGATGCGTCAGTCATTGACGCAATCATGCGTCAAGCAATGATACCTCTCCCCCCCCCCCCCCCGTGTACTCTTTAACCGTAAGATATCATTCTAACGAGGAACGTCAAGGATGCGTCAGTTTTTTACGCAATCCTGCTTTGGCAAATGGTGCATCTTGTGCATCGGACTTTAAATATCCTTTCTGTCTACCATATTTTCTATAACAGAATGACTCCAAGAACTTTCCTGGTCATCCTGCTATGTGTTGCCGTTGTCGGCATGGTGGTCGCGGTCGTGAGCGCTGAAGGAGAGGATGGTGCGCCCTCTAGCGGACTGCTGGAGATGCTCTTCTCTCTTAAAACTAAGGACACTGGAGAAGAAGGTATCATTTGAAGAAGAAAAAAAACTTTATTTCTTTCCATATCTATGTGGTGTTTTAGGAACAATACTTCTGTTAATACTTTGATAATACTTTAATAAACCTTGGATACGTTTATTATTTCCGGTATGTAACTGTTATGAACATCATCGTCGTCGTCATCACCATTACTAATTGTATTATTATAAATAATTGTTATTACTAGTATTGTTATTATTATTATCATTACTATTATCATTATTATCATTATTGTTAATATTATCATCATCATCATCATAGTTATTATCCTCAGTATTATCATCATCATTTTCATCTACACGTAAAATGGTATTTATTTGGCCATAGTTTGTGGTCGTTTCGTTTTGGGTGGTTGGGGTATTTCCTTTTCTTTGATGCGCATGTCCGCCTTATTTGAAATACCTTTTTTCTTTTTAATATCTTATTTGGTTGTGGCTTGTGTCTTTTTCAGCTCGCAGAAGCGGATGGCCACCTTGGCATTGCCCCCCTAGATGCGGAACTGGGCGTTGAAAGAGGAGCGGGTGGCATGGCTTATTTTTCTGGTGTTTTTTTTTTTGGGGGGGGGGTTGTGTTTTGTAATTCCATATATTCTAATTCAATTGCATTCTTTAAAAACAAATTGTACCTGAAAACTCTTGTACACGATAGAAATATTATGTAAACAATGGTATACTTACAAAGTTGTTATGATTATTTTTAATACAAAAACATTGTCGTGTAATCAGGGGAAGGGTTTTCGGATATAATAATCAGGATATTGATGTAATTATTTATTTGTGACAGCCCATTCTTTTTACAGTTAAACTGTATTATAAAGAACTTTCAAGTGAGATGAAGAAAGCGGTTTTCATAGACAGGTGGTCTTTTAGTACGTGTTTCAATAAAAATAGATAATGCTGTCACTATAGACAGGCCTTCCTTCTGTACAGGTGGTCGCTGAAGCGGGTTTCACTGTAAATTGTATTACTCTGTCGTACATTACAATGTAAAATAGCCTAGTAAATGGTTAAAGCGTGTAGGAAATAAAAAATCGAATCAATTGTAATCATATAAGATCATATCAAATCAAATTATACATAAATCGATTAGAGGAAAAATGCATTTAATTAAATCCATGTGATTTCTATGTCCAACTCGAATTTTAGTATTGTCGTTTTCAGAACGTAATATTTTGTTTATGATGTACTCATATAATCTCAATTTAGAAAGTGTTTTATTTGAGTTCTATGCAGAAAGCTCATTGAGTAAAGAATCACCTTGTTGATGTTTGTTATTAATACAAAAACGAATATTTATGATAACAACAACTACTACTACTACTAATACTACTACTACTACTATACTACTACTACTACTACTACTACTACTACTACTACTACTACTACTAATAATAATAATAATAATACTAATACCACCACTACTACTCCTACTACTACTACTACTACTACTACTACTACTACTACTAATACTAATACCACCACTACTACTACCACTTCTACTACCACTACTACTACTACTAATAATAATGGTGTTTTCGCATGGAGCTTGAAATTACGATGAAGATTATGAACGAAAGGGGTTGTCACACGTAAATATTTGAAGGCCGTCGTGAAAACAAATACATACAATGATACAATAAAGGTTATTCATGAAAACATATTTACAATGATGTATTGAAGTTTATTCATGACAGTGATACAATTAAGGTTGTTCATGAAAACAAATAAATACAACGATATGATAGAGTATGATTGTAAAGGCTGTAATGAAGTGGAAAATACATGAGCAAAGAAGAGTGAGGGAAGGTTGAGAGATAAAGAGAAAAAGGGAGATGGTAGGGAGGGAGAACGGATAAACAGAGAAGAGGAACAGGACAGAGAGTGAGGGAAGGTTGAGAGATAAAGAGAGAAAGAGAGATAGTAGGGAGGGAGAACGGATAAACAGAGAAGAGGAACAGGACAGAGAGTGAGGAAAGGTTGAGAGATTAAGAGAGAAAGGGAGATAGTAGGGAGGGAGAACGGATAAACAGAGAAGAGGAACAGGACAGAGAGTGAGGAAAGGTTGAGAGATTAAGAGAGAAAGGGAGATAGTAGGGAGGGAGAACGGATAAACAGAGAAGAGGAACAGGACAGAGAGTGAGGGAAGGTTGAGAGATAAAGAGAGAAAGGGAGATAGTAGGGAGGGAGAACGGATAAACAGAGAAGAGGAACAGGACAGAGAGTGAGGAAAGGTTGAGAGATTAAGAGAGAAAGGGAGATAGTAGGGAGGGAGAACGGATAAACAGAGAAGAGGAACAGGACAGAGAGTGAGGGAAGGTTGAGAGATAAAGAGAGAAAGGGAGATAGTAGGGAGGGAGAACGGATAAACAGAGAAGAGGAACAGGACAGAGAGTGAGGGAAGGTTGAGAGATAAAGAGAGAAAGGGAGATAGTAGGGAGGGAGAACGGATAAACAGAGAAGAGGAACAGGACAGAGAGTGAGGAAAGGTTGAGAGATTAAGAGAGAAAGGGAGATAGTAGGGAGGGAGAACGGATAAACAGAGAAGAGGAACAGGACAGAGAGTGAGGGAAGGTTGAGAGATAAAGAGAGAAAGGGAGATAGTAGGGAGGGAGAACGGATAAACAGAGAAGAGGAACAGGACAGAGAGTGAGGGAAGGTTGAGAGATAAAGAGAGAAAGGGAGATAGTAGGGAGGGAGAGCGGATAAACAGAGAAGAGGAACAGGACAGAGAGTGAGGGAAGGTCGAGAGATAAAGAGAGAAAAGGAGATAGTAGGGAGGGAGAACGGATAAACAGAGAAGAGGAACAGGAAAGAGAGTGAGGGAAGGTTGAGAGATAAAGAGAGAAAGGGAGATAGTAGGGAGGGAGAACGGATAAACAGAGAAGAGGAACAGGACAGAGAGTGAGGAAAGGTTGAGAGATTAAGAGAGAAAGGGAGATAGTAGGGAGGGAGAACGGATAAACAGAGAAGAGGAACAGGACAGAGAGTGAGGGAAGGTTGAGAGATAAAGAGAGAAAGGGAGATAGTAGGGAGGGAGAACGGATAAACAGAGAAGAGGAACAGGAAAGAGAGTGAGGGAAGGTTGAGAGATAAAGAGAGAAAGGGAGATAGTAGGGAGGGAGAACGGATAAACAGAGAAGAGAAACAGGACAGAGAGTGAGGGAAGGTCGAGAGATAAAGAGAGAAAGGGAGATAGTAGGGAGGGAGAACGGATAAACAGAGAAGAGGAACAGGACAGGGAGTGAGGGAAGGTTGAGAGATAAAGAGAGAAAGGGAGATAGTAGGGAGGGAGAGCGGATAAACAGAGAAGAGGAACAGGACAGAGAGTGAGGGAAGGTTGAGAGATAAAGAGAGAAAGGGAGATAGTGGGGAGGGAGAACGGATAAACAGAGAAGAGGAACAGGACAGAGAGTGAGGGAAGGTCGAGAGATAAAGAGAGAAAGGGAGATAGTAGGGAGGGAGAACGGATAAACAGAGAAGAGGAACAGGACAGAGAGTGAGGGAAGGTTGAGAGATAAAGAGAGAAAGGGAGATAGTGGGGAGGGAGAACGGATAAACAGAGAAGAGGAACAGGACAGAGAGTGAGGGAAGGTCGAGAGATAAAGAGAGAAAGGGAGATAGTGGGGAGGGAGAACGGATAAACAGAGAAGAGGAACAGGACAGAGAGTGAGGGAAGGTTGAGAGATAAAGAGAGAAAGGGAGATAGTAGGGAGGGAGAACGGATAAACAGAGAAGAGGAACAGGACAGAGAGTGAGGAAAGGTTGAGAGATAAAGAGATAAAGGGAGATAGTAGGGAGGGAGAACGGATAAACAGAGAAGAGGAACAGGACAGAGAGTGAGGGAAGGTTGAGAGATAAAGAGAGAAAGGGAGATAGTAGGGAGGGAGAACGGATAAACAGAGAAGAGGAACAGGACAGAGAGTGAGGGAAGGTTGAGAGATAAAGAGAGAAATGGAGATAGTAGGGAGGGAGAACGGATAAACAGAGAAGAGGAACAGGACAGAGAGTGAGGGAAGGTTGAGAGATAAAGAGAGAAAGGGAGATAGTAGGGAGGGAGAACGGATAAACAGAGAAGAGGAACAGGACAGAGAGTGAGGGAAGGTTGAGAGATAAAGAGAGAAAGGGAGATAGTAAGGGGGAAGAACGGATAAACAGAGAAGAGGAACAGGACAGAGAGTGAGGGAAGGTTGAGAGATAAAGAGAGAAAGGGAGATAGTAGGGAGGGAGAACGGATAAACAGAGAAGAGAAACAGGACAGAGAGTGAGGGAAGGTTGAGAGATAAAGAGAGAAAGGGAGATAGTAGGGAGGGAGAACGGATAAACAGAGAAGAGGAACAGGACAGAGAGTGAGTAATGATAGTAATGATAATACAAATAGTAATGATAATGATAATAAAAACGATAATAATAATAATAATAATAATGATAATAACTACTGCTACTGCTACTGCTACTACAGTTATGATCATAATAATAATAATAACAATTATAATAACGATAGTAATGATAGTAATATTACGAAATTGTGGCATTGTTTTGATTTTATTCAATTCATTAAAAAATAAATCAACAAAGACTAATAAATGGATTAAAACAAAAACAAACCAAAAGCCATTGACATGGAATGAAAGCCATATCAATTTGATATAACCCTGCGGCTTCTTTGCCTATAATCATCGGACATTTTGCCCTTATTTGAGGCAATATTTTTCCCCTGTTGTAAAGACATTTTTGGTTTCCAACCTTTGTAAATATTGACTTTGTCAATATTCATTGTTGCGAGAGACGACAACGACATCCAAAAGCAGATCTGGAGCTTCCAGACAATAGTTTGTTCTGACTTGTTTTCAATAAAAAGATCGGGCATGCTGTGTGTATCTACTGGGTGCAAGCCGACACTTGATTTACAACAATTGGAACTTCTCCCAGGAAGCATAACATTCAAACTATTTGTCACGTTCAGTATACGAGTGTGACGTAGATGGTCACGTGTCTCGGTAACTAATTCTGCCCGCCATTACCTTTAATAGAGTAATAGCGTGACGTTAACCGTATTGCTGATGTTATTTCTTTTTATATCTAATCAGAAGCTTCCTCAGATGGCACTCGGCTCGATCATCTAGAAACGATCCAAACAAAATTCACTATCTATAATTAGATCATGACGTGTTGCACCCGCATTTTACGCAAATCCTGCAACTTCGCAAACGTCGCAAATGTGCATTCAGGGTTCGCGGAGAGTTTCAATGAGCGTCAATTGATTAACGGCTCTGTGTGCTCGGTCAACATTGGCTGTAATATCTAAATATTAGCAATTACCTTCTAAAGAAAATAACACATATTTCTGATCACAGAATCACCAGTTGTAAATATCGCCTCGGTCTATATTCATTCTTTTACGAGAAACGACTACATCCAAAATCAGGAACTCAAAGACAACTTAAAGGGGAAATCCACCCTGATATTAAATTGCTGTTAAAGTCCCTCTGCACTAGTTTGGCATGAAGTGATTAGTGTTACAATGTTACAAATGTATTCAAGTGGGTAACAAAATATCCGTGTACATGAGTTACAAAGAAAAAGAAAATATCCATAGCCAGTTTAACCATATGTACAAATTGAATTAATCATATTTCATGTCATATCAAACCTGTGAATTAGCTATAACTTAATAATACGTGAACATTTGTGGCTGGAATTGAAATTCACAGAGTTCCAATAGCGTATAAGTGATTGAAATAAAGGATATTTTTTAATTTAAAAACTCAAAATGTTGTTAAAGGGAGAACCAAAAGGTAGCATTGATAGTATCGATATACATTTGCATTCATATTTAAGTAGGACAAGATTGAACGTTAAACGTGATCGCAAAGGCTTTCGAGAAAATAAACGAGAACATCATGTGTTATATACATTTGACAATTGAATTATTCATACCCCTTGTAAATTTGATCTTTTTGTGTTATTCTTCACTCAAGAATGACAAGTGAATCAATTAAGGGCCTTTGTTGAATACTTTTAAATGTTAGTTTCAATCTGTCACATTCCCAAGAAATATCGATCAGGAAAAATCAATTTTTCACATACTTAAAGTGCGGGTTCATAGAAAATCACAAATATGGCAAATATCGTATTACTAGAAACTGGTATGCTAACAGATGGCCATCATGCAAGTTTTAGGTTAACTACATATCGGGTGGTTTATAAAAATGCAAAAGTAAAACAACCTCCATAGCATCTGGGATATGCGAGAGATTCGCCGTAAAAAAACGATGTTTTAATGCCGTCACATTAATGAACCAACCCTGCCCAAGCAGACGACATCCCATGAAGAATGAACATAATTGCAATACTTTTATTTCTCAAATTATAATGAGTTTAGTGTATATAAATGTGATCGAATTTTACACCATTCAAAAAGGGGTATGACCCCCATTTTAATAACTAAATTATTTTGTTTGTAAATACACAGGATAGGAGTTAATGAACAATCAAAGAAACCACACTTTCAAATTAAAAAACCTCCGGAATGATAGCATGGACGTCATTTGTTACCTCTTGAAACGCCGAACATGCCGCGGTGTATGCAGCTGAAAATACAATGGCGTCTTATTTTGTTTACAAACGACGGATTCCTTTTTGTTGTTAATCCTTGAATGTTTCATCAAAATAATACCATGCACGGGATTTAGAGGCAATAGATTAAACATTTCGCCTGAGGGCATTGAAGTAAGAGAAATTACTGAAGAAAAGATGACAAAACAGGCACTGAAATTGTGTGAGATATCATGGGACATCGTCTACTTGTGCACATCATGTTCAACATTGTGACGTCATATCTCAGCAGCGATCGGATAGCTTTTCAGGGGCTATGTCAGGGCTGTATCTACGCGTTTTGTAATTGTTAATAATCATTACCTCGAATGTTTCCAAGCATTGGCTGTTGATACCCTTGGCCAATCAAAGTGTCACCTTTGCAATAATGGCATTAAAGTTAGATTTTTTAATCAATGAACCTTGTCTTTAAACAAAACTTGGTAAGGGCATGACTAATTTAGCTGTTAATTGTAGATAATACGTATTAAAATGTAATGTTCTTTACATGTTTTAATACTTTAATACAATGTGGCAACTAAAATTGCCTTAGCTTGAGTAATTTGAACGAGTCTTATTAAAGGCTCTTGGCGCAGTTCTTCCTTGACATCATAGTTCTAAATAATACTAGTATTGTTTTGATCTTTACATGGCATCATTCTCATCCTAATGTATAAGCAGCAGCTAGTTGTCAACAATAGCGCAATGTCTTGCAAAATAACAATGACGCAGGCGAAAATGGAAATGACCCTAGTTAGTTTGGAATTGACAAGGTCGTAAAATATTTGACTTGATCATTAATTTGTAAGAAAAAAAAGTCATCCTTAAAAGTTGTTAGCGAATCGATCTAATCTAAGAGCTGATGATGTTGAATTTAAGGTAATTGTTAGGGGTAGGGTGGTGAAGATGTTCAATTTGTACCGCGGTACGAATATAACTCAGAAATCAAAGATCATAACGACCATAACTTGGGGATTAAAGAAAAATTAATTAGATTTGTAATACCCATTCGATCTGTTCTCCCACATGAAAGTTGACAGATTGTTTTTCAAAATGTATTTTCAAATATCAAGATAATTATACCCTAAACAAACTATGATGTTGTTTCTATTCATTTGATTCCAATGAGTAATTCTACACCCCCCCCCTTTTTTTCCTCCCTCTCTCTCTCTCTCTCTCCATCTCTCCTTCTCTCTCCCTCTCTCTCCCTCTCTCTCTCCATCTGTCTCTCTCTTGCTTTCTCTCTCTCTCTCTCTCATACAATCTCCATCTATCTTTCTATCTTTCTGTCTCTCTTTTTCTATCTCTATCCCAACCACAATCTCTATCTCTATTTCTCTCTCTCTCTCTCTCTCTCTCTCTCTATCTCTGTTATTATTAACATTGTTTATTAGGCATTCGAAAGATACGATACAATGAAGACAGTACAAAATGATTCAGTTTTCCCTTCTGCACCTCCCAAAGTGACTAGGAAGGGGAAAAACGGAATGTTCAAGTCCTTTGACCATTGGGCCTTTCCCATCCCTCCCGGTAGCGCACCGGGGAAAGATACAAACATTATAACAAAGAGAAGAAGAAGAAAAAAGGGAAGCCAAAGAACATAAACAAGAAAGAAACAAAACAAAACAAGACAAAACACAACAAAATCAAAACAAAATCAAAATAAAATCGAACAAATATAATCTTTCTTATCTCGTCTCTACCTCTATTTCTATTTCTGTCTGTAGCTCTCTCTCTCTCTCTCTCTCTCTCTCTAGCTCCTATTCTCTCTCTCAGTATATCGATCTATCCCATCCCACCCCTCCTTCTCATCCCTCTCTCTCATCCTCTCTTTCTCTCTCTCTCTCTCTCTCTCTCTCTCTCTCTCTCTATCCGTCCCGTCATCCCGTATGTATCGTCAGTTACTAGTATCTGACGTCGCATGCCGTTGGTGGTTACCATGGTAATTAAGTTAAAGGATTGCTGTAATTGGTGGTAACTTCAGGGCGGAGTGTTTGTCAAGGATTAGGAGCTGTTGATCACGTTATCATCCCTTCATGTTTTTGACCGCGTCCCTTTCGGGAACACTTCATCCGCTCGCAATGCATTCTGGTCAGGCGGAACAAAGTGGATTGCTTTAGGAAATTTATTTTAAAAATCGATATTACTGTTCTCCGTAAATATTAAAAAGGTAAATGATGTTTGATATTCGTGAACGTCTGGATTTTAGCCATACCTGAATTAGGCTTGTCGATGATGATGTGTACTTTGAAAGGGTTTATAATTATAATCTCCGTGTCAATTTTGTTTATAATTTTGGTCTGTACATCCATTTAGGCCAAAGTTGTCTATAGCCGCTTTTAGGTCTTCACACATTTTGCTTGAACAGGGAAAATTCCCAAATATGGCACCTCATTCGTGAGATTTTGATATTTTGTCATTCAACTGGTCATAAAACCGGATTCCAAAGAAAGATTCTCAAAATATATTCTTTGTTGGGGGGGGGGGGGGGGGGCGGGGGCATTTAACATGCAAATCGTGATCTCCTTTTGAGCTTCCATAAAAACAGAAGAGGGCGCTCTTTTAGAAGCTCTTGAATGCGATGTTGTAATAAATCAACATTTTGATACGCCTTTATTAAACAGGCAGAATACAAGCCAGATAATGTTTTATTGTTACTAATTTATCATTTATTAGTTACCATTATCCTTATGATAAAATATATAATTAATATCAATATTATAATCGTTATAGTAGTAGTATAACAATTATTGAAATCCTACTTTAATAGTATTGTTACTATACATATTATTGTAGACTAGTATTCATAATATCATTTAGTAGTAATATTACATGTAGTAAATGTAATAGCATCATCATCATCATCATCATTTTTACCATTAATCATCATTATCAGTATGATAGTTATCGCATTTGCCATGTTTTAGTTACAAGTTAGAAGTCATTCTATTTGTAAAATAACAATAACAGCAAAACAAAACTAACGACAAACACTGAAGAAACACCAACATAAACCCCACTATCAATGTATCAAAAAATAAAAAATAAACTGTTTTATACGTCGAACTAAGCCAATGTGTGTATTTAGATGTTGTAATATCATAAGCAATGCAGTAGCGGTTTGAGATGGGGCTTGCCTGTGCTTGTGGTTCAAGCATTCTACCCCCTCCCCTCCAAAAAAAAATTATCCACCCCCCCCCCCTCAAATTGTCTTTATTATAAATGAATTTACGAGACACGTGTAGAAAACGACTGTAAGAACCCTTTACTGTCCCCCCCCCCCCTTTCCCTACACGAAAAAGTATATTCTCCATCTGTGCCTGATCATATGGAACGAATTTTATTTAGCATGGTGTAGATGGACTGATGTGTCCCTTTAAACGTCGTTATACCTGATGAGTCAATTGAGGAAAGGATCTTTGAGGAAGCTTTCAATCAAAGGAAGATCGGAAGCTAGATCTCACCGCTCCTACTCTTCCAAGTCTGAAGCACTTTCGTCCCCTCCCTTCAAACCCCTCATTCTTGGACGTGTTCACACAGAGAGGCTGCGTTCATACAAGAGTATACTTCCGCATCGGCTCATTGACGAGGGCAAACTTGCCAATGTCAATGAATTTTTGCCGAGACTAGTCGTTTATTTGATTTGTATATATCTATTCAGTTATTTTGTTGTTGTTGTTGTTGTTGTATATTTCCGTATTCATCATTTCATTCACGCATTCATTCTTGCATTCATTATTTATTAATTTAGTTATGTTTTCATTTATTTACTTGTATATTTTTTATATATATTTATTTATGTATTCAATATATATACAAATAATTCAAGTTGGATAATCCTTCATCGTGGAAATATACAAATAATTAAATTTTATAAACACATTCGAAATTTATTTAAAGGAAATATTATGGAGGGGAGAAACTGAACTGTTAAATAGTATCACCTCTGGAAAAAATGGTATTGACGTTAAAAACGTTTTACTCCCTAAAGTTGTGATATAGGCCTAAGTATATTTTATGTGCTTTTCTTTGTAGTCATTACTTATTATTTGTTTTTGTGTAAGTGTTTTTATTCAATTAAGAAACGATGGAAATTTTTGTTGTTATCTATTTTAATAATGATTGAAACAATTAAAATAGAAATTTAAAATCGTCGAGAGTTCACTGCTTCTCTTTACCGTTTTCAAGTTATTTCATCAGACAATGAATTTAAAATGAATGTACTTATCACGATAAATATAATGCCGAAAAAGCGGAAGAGGCATAAAACAGGAGAGAAGGGAAGAGAGAGAGAGAGAGAGAGAGAATGATACGACCCTCTCACCATCTATTATACATGAACTGAATTAAAGTAATGGAGGAATTTTCTGTAACCAAGGAGCGATCAAGAGTTATAACATTGTAATGATTGTATGAATTTAGGAAGCTCCTTCCCTGGAACTGGGCCAGAGTATATCACTAAACTCAACTTTTCCAGTCAAGCGCCATCTACGTTGAGGAGGATATGCGCCAAATTTGTTTTGTTTTATTTCTGCAGTAAAAAAAAGTTCTCACCTGACGAAGCGGTAAGTAAAATCACAGAACATAACTATTTCCGGTAAAATTCATTATTATTCATTAGCTGGCTTTGGATATTATTTTGAGCCCTTATTATTATTTCTTGTGAGATCATAGATCGTAAAATGATTGAAATATGTGGTAGTCTAGATTGTGAACGGAATATTTATTTTCGTAAAATTGTCCCATGTGTTGACATTGATGTATCATGTAAGCTGATATGAAATTCTTCATTATTTATGATCGACAACGCAATACTAATAGACCAGTTCACGGTTAGCACATGGCTGCAATGACCCCGAATATCCACAGATCTTCAAAACATGAAGAGGTCCCACTTTGTACATTTTGAAATTATCACTCCTACAGCGATGGAGATGCTGCATACTTAGCCTTTGTTTCCCTTTTCAAAGAATACTTCCACCTGTGTATCATGGAGTGCTCTGCTTGTGCATAAATGAATAATGATTACATAACTTTCATGAGCATGTATCCAGTATTCCGTCTCCGTGTATTTCACAATTTGTTCTGCAATGACCTTGATCTGCTCATGCTCAGACTGCAACCGTGAACTGGCTTATTGAAACGTCAACATCTATTTCTTTGTGTTTAATAGATCTATGTGAACTTTGTACATATATATATATATATATATATGTAACATATCATGTGGTCTCACATTTTGAAAAAAAAGTAAGTTTTCTGTGTCCTCATGCAAGTTTCGCTTTCACTTTCAGTTTTTCAGAAGTGGCCGCCATGTCGGAAAGCAGAGACGAGGTAGCAAAGAGGCTTCATCTGTGGGCTTCAAAAGAGATGCACTTCATCCCTCAGGGGAAGTATGTCAACACCCCAATGCCCTCAGCTGAAGACTTTAGAGAGTAAGTTGGTGCAACTAAAACTAAAGTAAAGCTAGGGTGTCTGAACTAGGCCTGAGTCATGTCGGGATTTTCATAAACCGGGTCCCGACGGCCTTGCACCGGTCGGGACCCGGTGTCCCGAAATCAGCTCGCAGGATTTGTCACTTGCCTCTATAAAAAGCGCATATCATCAGTATGTCCCTTAAAAGCGACATTTTTATCAGTCAAATAAATCAACACATGCATACCTCGGCACAGATTGGTATATTCTTCCATTTGACATTATATTCATCCATGATTGGCGATGTTTAGTGCCATTATCGTGCCTCTAAAAGTAAAAAAACTCGAGCAAAAATATAAAGACTACAATCGAGCTGCCATTTTGATTTATGCAGGTTGAATAAATCTGGTCAAAAAATATGAATGTTAGAATAATAAAACGGCTTTCTAAAAAATTCTTCTGTACAATATATGCCCATCATATAATATTTTAAAGACAAAAATAAATATTTATCTCTTATTTTAAACATCGCATGCTTTTTTTTAAAAGCTGAAAATTACTTGGTAATCACAAGAAGTTTCGATACGAATAGCTGTTGCAAGGCAAGTTCAGACTAGTCTCGGAAAAATGCGCAGTGCTCCTCGTTATCTGTAATGCGTGCCAGAACGAACCCAAACAAAGACATGATCGTAACGAGAAAAAAAATCATTAAAAACTACGAGAGCACAATTGGAAAGATATACTGCTCAAAATTACCATAATCAGATACATAACTTGGACAAAGAATTCAATAATCTCCCAAGAAATGCCACAGAAATTGTGATAATCGAGGAGTAACTGGGTACATTTTTATCGCAAGGGGCCTGCTGCAAATACTTGAATCCTTTGTTATACTACTTTTTACCGTAGAGGGCGGTATTTGCCTCGTGTTCAATTTAAACACGTTTAGATATATTGCAGCAGGCCCTTCCGATAATGATTGTACCTATAGTAACTCATTAAATATCACTATTTATGTGGCTTTTCTTGGACAACTATTGTATTCTTCCTCCAAGTTATGTATCTGCTTACGATAATTTTGAGTAGTTGTCTTTCCAATTGTGCTCTCGTAGTTTTTAATGATTTTTTTCTCGTTACGATCACGTCTTTGTTTGGGTTCGTTCTGGCACGCATTACAGATAACGAGGAGCACTGCGCATTTTTCCGAGACTAGTCTGAACTTGCATTGCAACAGCTATCCGTATCGAAACTTCTTGTGATTACCAAGTCATTTTCAGCTTTTGAAAGAAGCATGCGGTGTTCAAAATCAAAGAAAAAATATATATTTTGTCTTTTAAAAATTATTCGATCGGTATGTTGTAAAGAAGTACTTTTTAGAAAGTCGTTTTATTATTCAAACATTAATGTTTCTTTCAACCTGATTTATTAATTCTGCCGAGAGACCCAGCCAGTACAGTAGCTAGCTAGCAGCTGGTAACAACAACCCCATGGGGCGAACTGCTTTGCAACCCATATTTATATCAGCAGTTCGGATTGATTCTGGATGAGCTAGAATACGATTGGTAACAATTAAATACTTAAGTTTTAGGGTGGATTGATTTTAGTGGTGTGCAAAACTGCAATTTCTTACATATTTCATTATTTTTTTCGGAGCGCCGGTTCTCAAAAAACGAAACCGGGACCCGACGGCAACGGTCGGGTCCCAGTGTGATCGACCGTACCGACTCAAGCCTAGTCTGAACGATTTTTCAATTTTCAATTTGGGATCGTTTTTCACCATTTTTGTTTGATATTTGAATAAAAAATGTTATCAGAATAATACATTTCAAATTTCAAGTCTCACCGATGTTTCTATCAAAAGTTACAGCCCCTCCAAAACGCTGGTATATTCATATCATTTTGGTCAAAATCGACAAAAAAGACGTCCACGCAGAGTGATGTTGTTTTGCTAAATTCAGACAAACAGCTGTATCGCGCGATATGCAAGCGTATGCATATAGTACGCATGTTGCTAAGCCAATGCGCGACTTGCAACTTGAGCCACGCTGTCTCCGCGATATGTGCCATTGACTAGTATGGTTGGCAATTCGCGCCGTAGAACCCGGAAGTGAATACACGTTGTAGTCAATGGCAATATCGCGGAGACAACGCACGTTGTCTCCGCGATATTGCCATTGACTATAACGTGTATTCACTTCCGGGTTTATCGAGGGAATCGCAAACCATAATTTCATTCACTATAATGTGTAATTGAATTTGGGGTTTCGTTCGTGCGCGGAGATGTTACGCGATGTAACCATGGTTAGGACTGAGCGGAGCGCACGCCCCCTAATTAGCTGATCCACCAAATAGCGAGAAGGGTATTTTTAAACTGTTATCAGTTGTGATCCCTGGGGGCTAGCGAAAATATAAGCACATAGAATTGTTCCTTAGGACTGGGACTACTTATCGATCGGGGCGTCATATCTCAAAAGTGACAAACCTCAGAGTTAGCCAGGACACAATGTTTAAATTGCTGTTTTGACCAAGATATTTTTAGAATTTCGGGGGCTACGCCCCTTTGGAAATATTGGAATTCACCTGCTCTTTCACATGACACCTCATTTATTGATTATCACCTTCAGGATCACAACAGATAAAGGTTTGAATCTCGATTTGAAAAAAAAAATTGACTTTTTTTGCATGGTCGCGCAATGCACGTAGACTGCATAGGAATGCGTGTAATCTCTATGGGAAGAATTTTAGCACACAACATCGGGTGCGCGATCAGACACCCTACTAAAGCTTCTTCTTCTTCTTCTTCTTTATTAGGGTGTCTGAACGATTTTTCAATTTTCAATTTGGGATCGTTTTTCATCATTGTTGTTTTTTTTTAATAAAAAATGTAATCAGAATAATACATTTCAAATTTCAAGACTCACCGATGTTTCTATCAAAAGATACAGCCCCTCAAAAACTCTGCAATATTTATAGCATTTTGGTCAGAATGGACAAAAAAGTGGTTCACGCTGAGTTATCATTTTTTGCTAAACAGCTGCACTCTAATGCATTAGGCGATATGCAAAAAGTGGTGGAAGGGTATTTTCAAACTTACATCGTATGTGATCCTTTGGGGCTAGCAAAAAAAAAGAACATCAACATGTACATGTATTCCTTATGACTTGAATTAATTATCTCTCGGGTGGGGGGGGGGGGGGGTCAATTTTAAAAAGTGGAAATCTCCCGAGTTTCCATGGAAATGACATTTAAATCACTGTTTTGACAAGATATTTTTAGAAATCTGAAATGACACCCCTTTGGAAATATGGGGATTAGTCTGCCCTTTCATATGACACCTCATTTATTGAGTATCACCTTCAGGATCACAAAAGATAAAGGTTTGAATCTAAATTTATTTAAAGGGAGGCTTTACTACTTCAGCCAGAAGGGATTAGACCACACAGCGAGCCAGCGAGGTCACTGTGACAGGTGGCTATCTCATTAACTCGGCTCTCATTTAACATAAGAAAAAGAGGATCATGGGGGACCAACAGGCACCGATTGGGAAAGTTTTCTATATAAAGGGAGCAAGTAGTTACAAGTAGGACAGTGTGCCTTTAAACAAACGTTGACCAATTTTGGAATGCACATAGGCTGCAAAGGGATGTGTGCAATGTCTATGGGAAGGGTTTTAGCACACAAAACCTGGTGCGCGATCAGACACCCTATCTTTATTTCTTTTTCTTCTACTTCCTCTTTCCTCCTCTTTCCTCCTCTTTCCACGTCTTCTTCTTCCTTTAAAAGTTAATAAAATATGTCAAATTTTTACAATAATACATCATGTTCTTTGAAAGCAATCGCTCTGGACTATTTTTTTCTCCTTGAAGATATTGAGTCGGGTTTATGCTAATTGTGATTGAGTATCAGGTTATATGTGTAGGGTTAGGGTTCAGTATGTTGTTTGATCATGGTTGAAGTTCAAAATTCGGCCAATATCAGAATTCCCCAAGGATTAATTGTCACAGAGCATGTTTCCTACTACCAGTTTGTATTGTATAATAGGGTTTGGTGTAACATTTTGATCAAGAGTAAAGTTGGAAGTTGGTAATTTGGAAATTTGGGAATTTAGCATCGATCCAATATGATCCAAAACAATTTTTTTTGTAGCACGCCCAAAACAATGTTTTCTTTCTAAAAATCTTTAAAAATTTTAATCCATGGATCCCAGAAAATAACACCTTCTTTCATGAAATTTCCAAATACCTTGCATACACAAAGTCAATATTAAGTGACACTTCCAGGCCTTAATGTTGTTCAATTCTATTTCTTGCAGGGTCTGTCGTGGTAATCTGCTCCCAGTCTGGAAGTACGTCCTCAAGCATGTCCATTCCGCTCAGAAAGTTCATATGGTCAAAGGAAACCTCACACTGTATCCTTATGTCATGAATATGCAAATTCACCCTATTTAAATATAAGTGTTTCTTGTCTTTGTCAGTGCTTCACGGTATGCTCAACATACATTTGTTTTGGTTTAGAGTAACTTTTGATTAATTAAGAGCCCAGAAATATTATACCAGGTGCTTGAGTAGAAAGGGCAGACATTTCTTCACACATTGTGTCCATATTTTTGTTGTGTGACCAATTGCATTTGGTGCCATGAATTTTAAAAAGGACAATAAACTTTAAAGTCTTTAAATTGGCAATATGTTGCGATATACAATTTGCGCGTGTACAATTATATAATTTAAGAGTTATGCTGCTAATTCTCCCGAGGCCGCCATTGATTTCAAGCTTACCGCTCATGATGGCAGTCTCCTGCCTATTTTGTAATTCATCTTTTTTTATTGAAAAATATTTGTGTTTGTATGCATCTTGTTTAATGTACTAAAAACTTTGTAATTATATGTATAATGAAGAATAATTATTAATCTATGTATATGATTATGTACTATTTTGGAAATGCAGAAATAAAACAAAACAAATATACAAATGAAAAATTCCCCCATCAGATTTGGAAATTTTAAAACTTTTAAAACATAGTTCCCCCTGTCATGTCAAAAAAATAATGAAACAAAATCTACTGACCTAATGTAGCTTATGGAAAGCTGTGTCTTTTCATGTGCAGCTTCGTTTATAATACATGTATCTTAACACCCCTTGACTGAATGGAACCTCCCAGAAAAACCCTGCTTAGCAAGAGTTCAGCATACAGGGTCAAATATCAGGGAGATACCAAGTTCTCAGCAGAAAGAGAGGGGCAGGTCAAGAGATGGAGGGAACTGAATGCCAAGGTGGCTGGTGTCAAGGCAGATATTCATCACTTAGACCAGTTCTTGCAGAATCTAGAGAAACAGATTATTTCAGCAGGTATTGGCAGACTTTACAATTAGTATTGATTTTTCTTTATTTAATACACAGATTTTAGAAAAATGTTAACGGTTTCCTTCATCTTCTTTGTAGGAGAAGACTAAATTCTATTTTTAGCTGTGTTGTCTGCAAATGTTATTCTATGTTCTTGAAAGAGATATCACTTTATTAGCTGAGAAATGATTATCAGATTTGTGGTGTAACCTGTTTAGGTAGGCTTCCCTCGCCTTGCTGCGAGGTTCTTTAGACCGTTGTTATGGATGGCACTATTGCTGTTGCAGTACATCAATATAGGAGAGGGGGATGGTAGGTTGAAGAAAGTGTTTATTACTTAGCATTTGGAGTCCCCATTCATCAATGTGTCAGCTATAACAAAAACTCTGAAGAATCTTGCTGCAAAGCAAGTGAAAACTGGTAATTTTTTCACTGACTTTTTAAGAGCGATCACTGTCATATTCGCGCATGAGCATTGGAGCTTTTTTGTTAAGGAACATCAAGGAAATCACTTTTTTTTAGCTTTTTTTTTAAATAATCAGATTTTCTACATTTAATGCAAAAAGCATTCATAGACTTGAAATGATATTCTGTTTCTCTTTGTTCTTAATTGACAGAGGAACAGTATCAACAAAGTTGCGATAAACTGTCAAGTATTCACCACAAGAGGGCGCTGTTGAAACAGTACTCGACAGATTGTAAAGCTGATGCAGCCCGTTACAAGGAATATCAGAAACGGCTGGAGGGAAGACTAGAGCAGATCCAACCATCAGGAAGGTTTGTCAGTTTCTTGATTCTGCTGTAACTCTTTATATGACACACAAGTAATCTCCCAGTGCCACATTTTATTTTTTTCTTGGAATAGTTAACCCAAAGGTTTCAAGATTATTTAACTGTTTCCATTGCAAGACCAATATATACTAGTGTTCCAAGGGTTGTCATGGAGCTAATCAAGACTGTTAATGGTTAATTTTGCACAGCCATTGTGCTGCACAAAGCAATCCTTCTGTCAATTGGTGCCTATTGTTTTGTGCAAAATGGCATGTGTGGCAAACGAGCAACCACATAGAGACAAAGAAGGCAACCAAAGTGTTAAAGATAAATTACCTGAGACTGAAGCTATTAATCTTTGAAGATGGTATATAAAGGCTTGTCCACATATGACGTGATCACAACCCGCTGCACTAGATTGATTGATGTTTAACTCTTGCAGTGTCAGAGGTGCAAATATGCACCAATTAATACACACAATGCCCATAGACCTCCAATCTCCTTGGCATCAATCAATGTCCCTGTAATGTACCGGTATGCATTTATTTGAAGTATAGCAAATATGCTCAGCTATTTGCTGAATAGAGACTGGAGGTGACAGATATGAGGATGTTACGAAGGATACTAGGGCAATAAGAAGGGGCCGAAGGTAGTTAACATCCTGGAGAGGGTTAGGGAGATGAGACCGAGATGGTTTGGACACTTGGAGAGGACTGATGAAGAAAAACCACCAAAGGGCGGTATGACGCGAGCAGTGATAGGAAGCAGAGGAAGGCTGAGAACTTGTTGGAAGGATAAAATTAACAAAAGATATGAGGGAGCTAAATTTGACCCGGGCACAAGCAGAGAACAGTAGAGACAGAGAATTGGGTAACCAACCCCTGCTAAGGGAAGATGGTTCCTGGAGAAGTAGTACTAGAAGTAGTATTTGCTGACCCATTGACTTTTGATTGTAGTTTATATGGATGATAAATAGGTACATAAAGGGATGCCAATTTTCAGGCAATAGCCTGAATTCAGCCTGGTGAGTTATTTTCAGGCCATTTTTTAGGCTTTTTTGTGTACAAACTAGCTCATTCTAGGTGATTTTCTATCCCTCTGACCAATTCTAACTGGCATCCCTGCATAAAGTACACCACTTAGAAACATTAGTATGAAGTGATAACTCAATGTTGCTGTTGTTAATATTGTGCAATTTACACCATGAAATATTCTCTTTTATACAGCAATGAAGGAAAGACAGATCAGAGATATTTCAGCCGCCATGGTGCAAGAAGAGGAGAGAGAACAGACTCGCCAACTTTAGAGACCGCATGCACCGTAAGTCTGATACAACCTTAAATAATAGTATCAGTTATTTTTATTTTTTTATAGCTCACATATCCACCACACAAGTTGCTCAAGGCACTCCAATACTACTCAGGTTCTGCTTGGCTACCGATTTTGGTGCTCACATCATTCAAGGAATTCCTTCCTACCGGTACCCGTTTAACATCAAGTAAAGAGAAGGTTGAGTTCTGGTATAGACAAAAAATTAGTTGCAAGCTTTCTAATTTTATATCTGTTAGGAAGAATATCATAGTGGAACTGAAAAGGATTGCTAATCAAAAGTGTAGAAAAGACAATAATGCTGCTGTTATCTGATCAAATTTGATCAAATTTGATCATTATATCTAAATTATTATTTTATGATGTATTTTACCTTTTATCAATTATGTTGTGGTGTTCAATGTTTAATTCTTAGATACACAACCCTCCTTTAAAACCGCCCTTTAAGCTCCATCAATAAAGAAGATGAATTGTACTGAAAATTTGATTTCAGGAAGTGGCTGTTAACTGGATTTTTGTTGTTGACAATTTGCATTTCAGGTTTAGCAGGGTGTAATATTTCTGGCAACTTGTGATGTACATTGTTTTGTTGTCTTTGTAAGTTGGTATAATTTCTTGTTTGCTCAATTAAAAAATTGTCATTTTAATGATAATACCTTTTTTATCCATTTTGTTTCTTGTTACAGAAAAATGTTAGGGACGCCTGCGGAGAAATAACTGTATTTCTGAGCCAGATGCTGCAGGGACAGTTCAACAATAATCAACAGTCTTTGTAAGTTAATTAAAAATGTACACACAATATCTATAAGGTTCATCTCTCACCTTTGCCATGCAGTTTAAAAACGGATACTGTAAAAACCTTTTCCCCATAGGAAGGGGGGGGGGGACAAGAAACTTTAAAATTTGTTTTAAATTCAGTTTTAAGATCTGTGTGTTTTTTTTGTTTTTTTTTCCTGCATAGAACTTGGAATCTGGTCTACTTGTAAAGTTTTTTTGGTTTTACATTACTCCAAATGAAATTTCAGTTGGTGTAATAGCATTTTCCTCAGACATCAATATATTTGTAAACCACTTACTTCTAATAGTCCAGGGCTCATATTCATAAAACCATATCAAGCCCAGTTATCGATTCACTATGTAATTAGTTGACAACTAGCTTTAATGAATATGGGCCCAGTCCTCTGATTGATCTATGTAGGCATGACATTGACTATTGACTGCTTCATTACAAGCACAGGGCAATAGATAAAACTTACGCCTGGGCAGTAGGTCGTTTGCAGTGCCAAATTGCTAAATCCCTCTGTTGTTAGCGCTAAATCACAACCTTCATCTCGTTCCTATGTCCCTATCGCCTTTAGACAATCCACGAAAGACAAGATCTGGACTGGAATTGAGAAGGTCATGGCTGAGAACCCGCCACAGGATGTCCTCCAGTCTCTAGCAACCATCACCTTGGAAACGACCCATGACCTGAGACAGACCACGGCAAGTATCGACATCAAGGAAGATGCTGAGGAACTCAGGTGGGATAACTTTTCTTTCTCGTTTTCTCTTTCAAAATTGTTTTACAATCAGATTATTTATCCAGCATAGTGCGTTATGATGCAGTTAAACCTGTATATGAAGATCACTGAAGAGTGACGAAAAAAACGCAGTCATTATAGACAGGTGGTCTTTCTAATCTGGGCCCTGTTTCATAAAACTTGATGTCAATAACAAGTTAGAAGCTACTGTTATAAGCTACTGAAATCATGGCTTCTGATTGGCTGAGAAAAATTTGTCATTGAAATGTAGCATTTGTTATTGAAAACAAGTTTTATGAAGCAGGGCCCTGGTGGTCACTAAAGTAGGTTTCATTGTACTTATACTTGTGCACTCCCAAAGTGCTTTGGTAATTACTACTCTGCCTTCAGGCTAGGCAGTCAATATCAGCACATACATGTGGTATACTGCAAGGAATAAATCTTTTCAAGGACCCACTTACGTCACCTGGGTTGAGAGTGGCAAATGAAGGTTAATGTCTTACCAAGGGACATTGGTGCCTTCTCTCGTTCTGTCTGTCACTCTTTCACTAGTGTTGTGTTTTATGTAGAAATGTTGTGAGCTTGAAACTTGTTATGTTATTGTACCTTATCATATCTTGGACCAATTTTCTGGAAGAATCTTCCTATAATATTAATAATAATAATAATGGTGATGATGATGATAATAATATGTCTTGTTTATCCAGGGTAGCCTCATCAGTATTAATATTGTTCTCACTGAGGGCCCTGCAATCATATTATTTCCAAGGCTTTAAGTTTAGCCAAGCTGCCATGTAAACTGTAAAGGCGCTCAAGCATTCAAGGAATTTCTTCCTACTGGGTACCCATTTCCCTCACCTGGGTGGAGAGTGGCGAATGTAGATTAATATCTTGCCAAAAGAAATTAGTGCCGCTGCGAGACTCCATACCCGAACCATGCTTTTCACTGGCCGGTGACATATCCACTAGAACACGACACCGATCTGAATTCAAGAGACCTCCATTGTAGACTATTTAAACTTATCTCTTTGAGCTGTCTTTGCATATCGTATATTCACATATATACTTGTTCTTCCATATACCTTCTCTCTCTCTCTTTCCCTCTTCTCTCTCTTTCTTTCTCTCTCTCTCTCTCTCTCTGTCTATCTATTTCTCTTCCTTCTTTGAAATCCTTTCATGCTCCAGAAACATTGCCGTAATTTAAGTAGCACAGTGTAAAAGCTATGTATTATTACGACTTTGATTAATGTTGTTCTTTATTCTCCGTCCAGATTCAGATACGAGTCAGGCTCATTATACCAAGACACATCAACGGGAACCAATCAGCTACAGAGCGTGCACCAAATGATTGAAGTAAGCAAAATAAGTTGACAATATTGCTTGGGATTTTCCTCTTTAAAGGGATCGTTTAACAATGTTAAATCTGAGATACACGGCCCTACATGTTACCAGTGTCTGTGATATAGTGTAATATTGAAGCCCTAAAAAGATTGTGCTTCTAAATGATCACGAAGTGCCTCAAAAAGTAAAAATCTTTGAATGACCGGTTTTACCATACTCGTTTTCCCCAACAGACTGTAGTGTTACGAAAACTGTTCGGCGAACGGTTCTCAAAATTTGTAATTCCAATCATTAATATCTTGATAATCAGACAGGCAATCGGCTTGTAAAAGTCATGGAGTTCCTGAATGACCTTAAGGTTTATAATTATCATTGCAGCATGAGCTAAATCAAGGATTATTTCTAAAGGATCTAAGACAAAGTTACCGGATTCCTTTAAAAGATTGTCACTAATTTAAATTTAAGTAAAATTTAATTTTAAAAAGACATTAACTAAATATAAATCAAATCACACCCACCACCATCATCATCATCATCTAATACAAGGGTAATTTGGTTAAAATGGAAAATGTTTTTTCAAGTTAAAAAAAAAGAATTATTTGATAAAAAAACAAATTATTTGATAGAAATCAAATCACACTCATCATCATTTATTAAAGTCAGCATTACCAGAGCTGCCAACCATTCTGTTTTCCCGGAATTGTTCTGTTTTTTCATCCAAATTACGTTGTTTTTTTCTCACAAAATACGTTTTTTGAAATAAATTTTATAATTTTTTTTTATTTTTATTTTTTTAAACATACGTCAAACAACTTCCTAAATTGTTATTTTGATCTCAAAGTCAATAGAAAACTAAGGTTAAAGAGAAAATATTCTCAAAAGGATTGGAAGTGTGTAACGCGTGGTTGTAAGTTTTGTTTTAATGAATTGGTTTTTTTTTTGCTTGAAATTCCTTTTTTTGCTATCATGGTTCCTTTTTTTGGTCGCACAAGGTTGGCAGCTCTGGTTTACTGACTTTCACCCCAAGGTGGCTCTCATTCCCTCCACTTCTTCTTGTCTCGAGCATCCTCATTTAGACCAATGTTGCTGCTTTCTTTCTTCACCATATCTTTCCATGAAATCTTCAGGCTTTGAGGGATCTGCAATCATATCATTACGCACCAGTTTTACCCGAGCTTCCATGATAAGGCGCTCAAACATTCAAGAAACTTCCACCTAACGGGTACCCATTTACTACGCCTGGGTGGAGAGTGGCAAATGTAGATTAATGTCTTGCCAAAGGACATTAGTGCTGCCCTCGGGTTATCATCAGGAGCGGAAGGGGGGAGGGGAGTTTTCAACTTGTTCTCATATTCTATCCTGAAATTATTATTTTTTTTTTAAGGGATCTGGTAACTTTGTCTCAGATTTTGAAACAGAATCCTGGATTTAGCTCATACTGCAAAGTTCAGTTAGGAACTCCATGACTTTTACAAGCCGATCGTCTGTCTGATTATCAAGATATTTATGATTGGAAATCGAAATCAAATTTTGCGTTTGCCAAATGGTTTTCATAACACTACTGTCTATTGGGGACAATGAGTATTGTAAAACCGGTCACTCAAAGATTTTTTCTTTTTTGAGGCACTTCTTAAATCATTTTGAAGCACAATTTTTTTTTTGGGGGGGGTTCAATATTACACCATATCACAGACACTGCTTAGACATAGGGCCGTGCATCTCAGAGTTAACATTGTTAAACGATGCCTTTAATGTGTATTATGTTTTCAGGAGAAGCAAGCTGCCCACATCCATACCTTCAAAGAAGCAGAGAAGTGCAGGAATCGTGCCTGGAAGGTAGACAAGCAGTTGATGGACACAGCAGCAGCTGTGGATGGAAAACTAGCCGCTATGTTCAGCAACAATCCAGGTGCTCTGGAACTAGCCAGGTAACTTCAGCAGATTTACTAAGCCATCATTATCATCATCATCATCTCATCTGCATTGTCATTATCACCATCATCAAAATTTGTATTTTAGATTACCTATCCGTTTCTGCTTAATAAATGTGTTAATATATTTCATGAGTTTTGTTGCTGAACATAGCGGCTGTCGTATTATCAAGCATTCTGCTTACAATGCCAGTCCCTTTTCCGCAAATAATTTTTATGTTTTATAATGTTTGAGGAAATTTAGTGTTTATGACAGTTTATCATTTTGTTTTTTGAAAATAACAATTTATATATATTTATATATATATATATATATATATATTTGATTATTTATGATTCATTGTCAGAAAAATACTTATTGTAATTACATTATTATTGTTATCGAAAAAGTGTATACTTACATGAATGCAGAAGAAAATCAAATCAAATCAAATCAAATCATCTTCGGCAACATGTGCTCTATAAGTTCAGGGTTGTGAGTTAGTTTTATGTTCAGACAACGGTTAAGGTTGGGTGCAGTGTTGGTATTTTCTGTTTTATTAGAACTAAATTAGAAATGAACTGTTATCTTTGTCATTGGACCATATGAGTCATACATGTACACTTGCATCTTCTTGTTAAATATTTGGTTCTTTGATATATCTAATAGAATAATTGAGGCATTATACATATGGTATACATGTACTTAGCTATGTGTGTTCAAATGTAGGGAGATTTACTTTTTTGATCTTGTATTAAACAGCATGCACTTTATATAATTCGTAAACTGGAAATGGTCATCTTCATGATATGCAAAATGTTATAGTTGTACAGACTATTTTTTTTTTTATAATAATGCAAATTTTAATGCAAACTGGAGGGTGTTTCACAAAGATCCTAAGTTGAACTTATCTCTAAGTTGGACTTAAAAATTATGGAAAGCCGTTGGCATCTTTGAAAATAATTTGTAAAAGTTATTTTAAAAAGCATAAAATGTTAATTCAAATCATACTTGATTTTTTGCTTTTGAATATATTTCATTTGAAAGCTACAAATAGCTATCCATAATATTTAAGTCCAACTTAGATTTAAGTTTGACCTAGGATCTTGGTGAAACACCCCCTGGATGGTATGACCAACATCAATTATAAATATCCATATCATTGTTATTTTGGTTTACCAGAAAATTGTTCAGTACTGAGCTAGAGACATTATCAGCCAATGCTGCCCTCCAGTGTCTGCGAAGCCTCAAGGGTGACCTTTCAGAGGTCGCTGCTACCGAAGGGAAAGCGAAGGAGGCCCTCTATGCCAGGTATCAGAAGATACAAGATTTTAAAGGACTGAGTGTAAGTGGAAATACAAACCAGGGCCCAGTTTCATAAAACATCTTAGCGATAACAAATTCCAAAGTTCTAGAACAACTTTGCTCTCAACCAATCAAATGCAAGGATTTCAGTAGCTTATAACGGTTATTATAACCTGCCGTTGATAACAAGTTTTATGAAGCAGGGCCCTGATTTGTCAGGTCACCGTAATCCAAATATGGTATTGGAGATAAAAGTAGAACATGGCATCCCCAAGTTTGATTTGTTTTAATTTTTTTTTTTAAATCATGATTTTTCTCTTAAAAAAATTGATAGTTCCTGAGATCAATGTAAATCCTTTTTAAACTTAAGGGGGGTGAGGTGCTGTTGTTTATGACTAGCTTGAACACCTTAAAAAAGCGCCCAGCACCTCACTTCGCTCGGATTTCTAAAACTAAAACCTTCTTCCGCTTTTTTTTTCTCACTATCACCCCTGCATCCCATCCCCAAATCCCCAAATTGTTTGAGATATAGATATGACACTGCATGGGCTTATTCATCTTTGGACCAAGTTTCACAATTTTCCACCACTCAATGGCTAGGATTGGGAGAGGGGGAGGGGGGTTGAATCCACTGGTTGAGAGAGCACCAAAATAACAGGGTTAACTGGGGCAAAGGCACAGTACGAGCTAGCTGTGTTGGGTGTTGAGTATTCTCGTTGTGTCATAAGAGTATGGTCAATCAAATATACCACCATCATCTGATCATCCCGTTACCACTATCCATCTGGTGGTATGATCTACCAAATGTATACTGGGGGGTGTTTCACAAAGATCCTAAGTTGAACTTATCTCTAAGTTGGACTTAACAATTATGGAAAGCCATTGGCATCTTTGAACATCTTTTGTAAAGGTTTTTTTAAAAGACATAAAATGTTGATTCAAATCTTTAATATTTTCTATTACCAACAGGAATTTCATGTTCTTGATGCGGAATTTATAAAAAGTCTAAAATACTTCAATTTTTGCTTTTGAATATTTTTTTTTTCAAGGCTACAAATGGCTCTCCATAACATTTAAGTCCAACTTAGAGTTAAGTTTGATTTAGGATCGTTGTGAAACACTCCCCTGGTATGTATATTTGCAGGATCAGAAACAGAACCTCATTAGAGTCCTGGTCAGACAGAATATGGATGGAAGAAAGAAGCTGGAGGAAAAACAGAAAGAGGTATGTTTTATCTAGCTTTATTTAATACCATCTTCTCACTGTTTGTTTATGCCCTGTTAGTTGATCAGATCACGAGCTAAACAGCCATAGTTGTCATTTGATTCAAGATTCAAGTTTCAGTGTCCCTATACAGTCACACGTGCTCTAGTGACCACCTGTCTACAAAGACCGCATTTTTGGTTTCCTGTGAAAATGGTTTCTCATTGAGACATGTACTAAAGGAACCTGAACATAAAGACCATTTTTCTTGTCTCTCTTGTGTGGTCTTTATAGACAGGTTTCTCTGTATAATAATACAGAAACCTGGTCCAAACATTGAGGAACTATGTACTTATCCCTCAGTGGTAGCCATGCCTCATCACTTTAATTCCCTTACTAAATATTACTATTCATATCGTGACTTATGCTGTCTTTGTGGATATCTTTTTTCTTTCATGATGGCCTTCATGCTATAATCCCAGATAAGAAAATGAATAGACTATACCAGTGCACAAAAAGACAACAGTTCTATGACTAATAATCTCTTCATCTGTTTTGTGCTCACTTTCTCTCTCTCTCTCTCTCTCTCTCTTCCTCTCTCTCTCTCTCTCTCTCTCTCTCCTCTCTCTCTCTCTCTTTCTCTCTCTCTCTCTCTCTCTCTCTTTTCCTTGTCCTCCACTCTCTTGTATTAATTCCTAATTTGATCTTATCTTTATACCTCTATTTCTCTCCGATTCCCCTTTCACCTTATCTCTTTTATTCTTCATTCTCTCTCTCCTACTTCTTATCTTTTCTATATCTTCATTCCCACGACAATTTCATATCTGTATTTCTGTTTCTCTCTATTTTGTTGTGTATATGTGTTCCTGTGTGCCCCTTTCTTTCTCTCTCTCTCTTCCCCTTTCTCTCTTGCTTTCTCTCTCTTTCTTGCTCTCTCTCTCTCTCTCTCTCCCTCTCTCTCCCTCTCTCTCCCTTGCTCTCTCTCTCCCTTTTCTCTGTTGCTTTCTCTCTCTTTCTTGCTCTCACTCTCTCTCTCCCTCCCTCTCTCTCCCTCTCTCCCTCTCTCCCTCTCTCTCCCTTGCTCTCTCTCTCTCCCTTTTCTCTCTTGCTTTCTCTCTCTTTCTTGCACTCGCTCTCTCTCTCCCTCCCTCTCCCTCCCTCTCTCTCCCTCTCTCTCCCTCTCTCTCCCTCTCTCCCTCTCTCTCCCTTGCTCTCTCTCTCTCCCTTTTCTCTCTTGCTTTCTCTCTCTTTCTTGCACTCGCTCTCTCTCTCTCTGTCTGTCTCTCTCTCTCTGTCTCTCTCTCCCTTGCTCCATTCTCTTGTACCTTCCTTTGGCCAAACCCCCACCCCCACACCCAACCCCACCCCCAAAATCCCACTTTGTTTCCAACCCCTCTCCCTCTTCTCCCCTCTCTGTAAACCCATATTGACCCATGTAGTTAGGGAGGTACATAGAGAACAAGCTCAATGCACACACAGCTGGGTCTACCGCCATGACAACCAAGCTCAAGGATCGCATCACGAGGGAGGTTCAACTCTTTGCATCTCTTCCTCTTCATCTTCTCCAGATATCTGCTCTCGACAGGTGAGCCCAGCAAATTCTGATTAAATTCAAATTTTATTGCTCCAAAAGGAAATTTGTTGTGTTTACATGCATTATTCACAGAGAAAAATAGATAGAAATTTACATGTGACATGATACATACAACATAAAACAAGTATATAGAGAAAATAAACATATAGCACGTTAACATTCTTATTATATATATATTTCTTCTCTGAATTTACATTATTGACAATATTTTTTACTTTATCCAGAGTAATTACTTAAACAATATAACATTGTACAATATAATACCAGTCCTTTCAAACTAATTAGCAAGCAAATAAATTAGTTTGAAAGGACTGGTATTATATTGAACAATGTTATATTGTTTAAGTAATTACTCTGGATAAAGTAATGCCTGTTTGGTTTGTTATTACAAAAAAGGACAGGCTAAGGGATTCTAAAAAATTCTAGAAGAATGATACCAAATGCCAACAGTGGTTCATTGTTTATTTTCTAGATGCATTTTTAAAATTCTAATTCCCTCTTATTGCTCTCATGATAGTGGAGATGATGTGCCTGTTTGTCAGCTGTCAATCAATCGCCTGACTAACCAATCACCATCGGCAGGAGGCGGAATATTACAGGAGGTCCTGAGAGCTTTGAATTACCCCATGTACAAGGTAAGCTGACGTTTGCTTCAGGGCCTCATTTCACAAAGCCTTTTTTCAATGACAAATGACAAAAATCAGTGACAAATCTACTGATAACCAATCAGAAGCAAGGATTTCAGTAGCTTATAACAAAAACTGTCATTTGTCACTGATGACAAGTTTTGTGGAATGTCCCCCAGATTTTATTTCTTGATGGTTGATTATTATTTTCACCCGACTGCAAAGGAAGCATGCATATGCTTGTAAGTAAGCAACCAGGGGACGGGCAGCTTTAAGTCCTCTCTGAGGGACTTGGTAATGAGAAATAAAGCCTTCCTCAGAGGAAGAGATTCCTCAAATGCAGAGGTGATAATAGTACAGCGCTTTGGAAACATTAATATTAATACATGTATATATGTTATTATCATCTTTGATCTCCAAAGATATAGTGATAATGATGATGATAAGGTTGTTGAGACTTGATAAATGTCACCATTACATATGCATTTACGTATTTCACATTGTATATTATGATTCCGATGATTTCTATATAATTTTAATTAATTCTGATGTAGTCATTATTTTGTGTAATGTCATATTCTTCGGTATCTCTCACTTTTCCTTCCTTTTCCTCTCTTCTTTTTCTTGCGCTTAAAAACATTAGGAATATGCGTTTTATAAATATAATGTATTATATACCTCACTTAAGAAATCCAGCCATCCGATTGGTCGAAATTGCATTCATAAACTTTAACTATTTCTGTAAAATTCCCAGTAACCATGGTTAAAACAGTTCTAAAAATCCCAGTAATCATGGTTATCGGGAAAATAGTTCAGTCTCCATGGTTACCCCATAGGTTTACATGTTAAAAAATGGTTTGAGCGATCGAGGATACCGTACGTGTGCGAAGAATCGGTCGCTATATTTTACCAATTTTGTAATACAACTAGCAGCGAATCCGGGCTAACTCGCCCCACGGGACATCTCGCCCCAGCATCAAAGACTGGGTCGAGATGTCCCGAAACGATTCATCGATCGAGAGATACCAATGTGTATATGTTTGTGCTCATTGTACATTTTAGACGATATGGCTGATATTTGTTCACATTCTTTTGTCCTGGCCGTTAATTAGCAGACTACTGGTATCTCTCGATCGATAAATCGTGTCGGGATATCTCACTGGGGTGAGATGTCCCGTGGGGCGAGTTAGCCCGACTCCCTAGTACCTGCCAGAGCAGACGACCGACTGTACTACTAGGCCAAAATGGCTGAATTAGAAATGCTCCCAAGATTTCAGCTTCTTCATGATGATCAAATGAGAGACTTGATTGATTCTGCTGACAGCAAGAACACGAAAAATTCTGTTAAATGCTCCATGAAAATATTCGAAGACTTCCTGCAAGTTATCAAGACAGACCTCGATAGCGTAAACAAGCTTTCAAATTCGGAGCTGGACAATGTACTGCAAAAGTTTTACGCTGGTGTTAGACGGAAGAACGGAAGATATTACATGAAGAAGTCAATGTTAGCTATTAGATTCGGACTTCAGCATCATTTCCTCAACTGTAATAAGATAGATATCATCAAGCATGAAGATTTTTCCAACTCACAAACCAGCTATCTCAGCAGAAGACATGGACAAAATCCAAGGTTCGCTTGATTTGGATGATCCTGTGGGTCTTCAGGACAAAGTATTTATGGACGTTATGGAGAAAAGCCAAGGTGGTGTCATGATTCCAACTAATGGTCCACGATGTCCTGTTGCCTCCTTCTTACGCTACAAAGATAAATTGAATCCACGATGTAAGAGTTTTTGGCAGAGACCCGCAAATGCACAGGCCAAGCGTGAGTTGAAATCCAATCCATCTTCTTCTGATCCATGGTACTGTAATGCACCCCTAGGGAAAAACAGCATCAGAGACAAAATGAAAACAATTTCATCTCGTGCAGGTACCAAGGCTTACACCAACCATTGTCTAAGAGCAACCAGCATCAGTACCCTACAAAATGCTGGGTTCAGAGACAGAGAAATCATGAGTGTCTCCGGACACAAGGCGGAGACCAGTCTCAAGCACTATCCTATGACTAGCAGTACAGCCAAAGAAAACATGAGTCATGCTATCGCGGCAGCCGTTGATCCGAAATCAGTACCATCATCATCAAACATAGGCCATGGTATCGCGGCAGCTGTTGATCCGAAATCAGTACCATCGTCATCAACATCTACTGGTGGTCAGCGTAGTGAAAGCCAGGAACTGCGGGAACTAAATGACATTTTCAATGAGATCACAAATAACCCAGAGAACTTCCCACGCACATGCAACATCACTACAAGTAGCCATGCCCATGTTTCTACTAGTCAGCAGGTGCAAGCCCCCATATATCATTTTAACAATTGTACTGTAAACATTTTTAACAAATAGAGTATTTTCTACGGATTTCTACCAGTTGAGTTATTTTCTACAGAGTTATTTTCTACGGAGTTCTACGGTTGAGTTTTTTTCTACGGAGTTCTGAGTTCTACCTGAGTACCTGTTCTACCAGTTGATTGGTAAGTTGACTCTTCGGTATATAAAAGTATTAATGACTGCTTTGATATTCGAGAAATAGTTGTTTTTATACTCTCAAGGGAAGGTTACAATTGTGCTATTGCCCTCGGCACGCCTCGGGCAATAGCACAATTGTAACCTTCCCTTGAGCGTATAAAAACAACTATTTCTCTCAAAGCAGTCATTAATACTATACTATTATTATTTTCATAATAATTATGTTCGCTTCCTCTTCCTGCTCTTCCCTATCCAGGCACCTGAATGCCTCTTTGCCTATCTGTCAGAACTGAAAATTGAGATGGCGGACATAGAGGGCATCCTTGACTTCCAGAAGGTCCTTGGTTACTATGGCGACAGCGAGGAATCGGGTCACGACATCATCGCACATATCCAAGGTGACATTGATTGACAGAGCAATCATGATTAATCAAATAAAACTTGTTTCTCATTTCCTTGCAGGGTTTTTGACCCCTGATGAAATTTGTGCTCTGAATCATGAATCAATTGAATCATGTTTCGCATATTTGGCGGCATGTTTTTTCATGGTATCAATTTTCTGGCTCTTTCTTCTCTCTTTTACTCTCCAGTTGTCTGTCTCTCTTTGAAACTGTTTTTTTTTGTGCTAACATTTCTCAATCATTTACATCTGACATTTACCAAAAATTTAATATAGTTTTGAAGAGGGTCTTGTAAAGAGGTATTATAAGATGATGACTTGGATCCGAATCAAATGATTGGTTAAAAGCGTACACGTAACCAGGCATTTATTTTGCCTATCGCGTAATTTGGATAATGACCGATCATTATCCAATGGTAATGACTGGTCATTAGTAAAATCATTTATAAAACAAATACAACATATTGTTATCAAACAAATAATACACATCATTTTGTTCGGGCATTTTAGTAAAATTACCCACACAAGTTACCTTTGGAACAGTCCAACACACCCAAGGCGATAATACCAGTACGATTTAGTCGTATTTTGTACGATTTTTAGAAGCAAATACGACAGTACAATTATTTTTGTTGGTTGTATTTTGATTGTGTGTGTGCCATTTTCAATGGCAAAATGCCCATTCTGTCATGTAAAGTAATCCACAAGCATCTCACATCTGCAGTTTGGAGATGTGCATTGGTTCATCGAACACAACAGTCGTGACTAAATCATGCATATTCAACCAATGATCCATGCAAACAAAATTCCTGTATGTAGGAACTGTAAGAGGCATTCATCCACGTAACAGTCTGTTGTCAGTAAATTACAACTTTTGGGATTAAAGAATACAGTTTTTGAACTCCAGAGGTTGGTAGGTCTGATAATGCCCTCACTGCTGTGTATTATTTGTATATTATCTCACCATGAATAACAGACAAGAAGAGTTCTGCCCGTATTTCAAAAGAAATTCTTAGTAATCAATATCTTTAAATCTTCCTCAGTTCTACCCTCTTTTTCGATCCCCCACTTTCCTCTTTCTCTCTCCCCCCCCCCCCCCCCTCTCTCTCTCTCTCTCTCTCTCTCTCCATCTCTTTCTATGTACCTCTCCCTCTTACCCACCGTGTTTCCTATTTTTCTACTTTGCTCCAAAAATTACCAAATATGTATATTACTTTTTTTTACAGGGTTATGTAGAGAGATAGGGACTCATGATGAAGAACAGACTAGAAGACTCCTACCTGTCTTACAGAAAAGACTAGCTGAGTCTACCACTGCTATGAGTCATTGCATGAAATCTAGAGAACATGTGGCTGCTTGGTGAGTAGTTTGATAATAGTCATGGTTATGATGGGGATGATGATGATGATGAAATGATGATGAGGATGATGATGAGGATAATGATGATTATGAAGATGGTTATGATGGGGATGATGATGATGATGATGATGATGATGATGATGAGGATAATGATGATTATGAAGATGGTTATGATGAAGATGATGAAGATGATTATGATGATGATGATGAAGATGATTATGATGAAGATGATGGTGAGGATGATGATGATGATGATGACGATGATGATGATGATGTAGATGATTATGATGAAGATGATTATGATGGTAGTGTTGATGCTGATGATGATGATAATGATGATGATTATTATTATGATGATTATTATAATTAAGATGATTATGATGATGATGATTATAACGATGAAGATTATCATGGTTATGATGGGGATTATGATGAAGATGATTATGATGGTAGTGGTGATGATCATGATGATGATTATGATGAGGATGATGATGATGATGATGATGATGATGATGAACATGAACATGATTATAATGAAGATGATTATAATGATGGCGTTGATGATGGGGATGGTAGTGATGATGATGATTATGGTGATGATGATAATTATGATGGTGATAGTTATGATGATTGTGATCATACTAATACTTTTACCAATAATAACAAAGATAATGATGCTTATACTAATAATTATGTTTTTGATAATAATAAGTCTAAATAAATTGTAAATTCTCATATCCTTTGCAAGCAAATCCAGAATCAATGGGCTTTTCATCAAATAATAATGGAGTTATCTTTTCACTTTTGACTGCACAAAACCTTTGATTTGATTTGGTTTGATATTCATAAATCTAATGAGAGAATTCAGCCCTTGCAATGCTTGCATAGTTGTATTTATAAATATTGAACCTGTGGCCCTCCTGAGATCCGTTTCACAAAGCCTTTTTCCCATGACAAATGACAAAAATCAGTGACAAATCTGCTGATAACCAATCAGAAGCAAGGATTTCAGTAGCTTATAACAAAAACTGTCATTTGTCACTGATGGCAAGTTTTGTGAAACACCCCCCTGGAGTTGAGTGAATAAACACTTAAATCCAATAATGTACTGTTAACCCAACACAAGCAAATCTACAAACACAAATGCACCTGTCGACATTTGCAAACAAAGTCAAATCCAATTACATCAACTATGTGTCATACAATGGACAACTCTACATCAGTTGGATCTAATAATAATATGGATCTAATAAAATGCTGATTCATTTACTGCTCTTGACATGGCTTATTTCTCTCTCTTTCTCTCTCTCTCTCTCTCTCTCTCTCTCTCTCGCTCTTTCTCCATTTCTCTCTCCCCCTCTTTCTAAGTTTCCTCCTTTACTTTCTACCAATTTCCATATATATTTTTTCCTCTTCTAAATTTTTGGTGATATTTTAATGCCTTTTATTAAAGTGATTTGATGTTTTTTTCCGCTGTTAATTGCAATTATCACATTGTCGTTTTTGTTTTTTGTTTTGTGCTTTTTACTACTTTTAATGCGTATTATTCCTGTTAGTTTTATACTGTACTTACCTTTGTGAGCTTTGGTGATATTCATTATTTATATTTCCGTGTACTACATTTTTATCGTGTTCAGGACCATGATGTAAAAGAGAATTTGTATCTACAATGTATATCTGACTCTTGTTATCCTGAATAAATATATTTCAATAAAAATAAAATAAATAAAAAACATCATTATATGGATATGGGTCTTTGATCAACATAAGAACATAACTTGGGGGCAATAAATGGTTATATATATTTTCTTAGCCCTGCCAGGACAGAATTAATTTTTAGAGCTTAATTGATCATGTATTGTCCTTCAAATTGGCAACAATAATAGTTTTCTTTTATTCAGTTGCTAAATTATGCAATGTCTCTGATGACAATGTACATGGGTGAGAATGTCAACAAATTACACACAAATTGAAAAACTGATTTTAAATCTGTCCATGTGTTGCTAATGTTGGCAATGCTATTTTTCTTTTATAAAATTCCTGGCATCAAATGGTATACATAGCCATTAAAAAATGGATGATTTTTTTTGCCCTTTTCTAGTCATACATCTTGGATGTTTTTTAAGTCTCTGAATTGAAATGGATTGAGCCAAACCACAAAAATGTTTGTAAAATCACTCTATGGCGCATTCGAAGATCCATCTAGTTTCTGGTTTGCGAAGGTTTCCACTCATAACCCCTAAGGGTTCACACAAAAATAGATAACTGGTAGTTTGAATCCTGTATTGAAGTAATTCTTTATGGTAGTTGATGATTTAAATCAAACTTTGATGAACTTCAGTGAAATTTGTTTTTTAATCTAAAATATGGAAAAAAACAATACCGGTAATCTTGAACAAAAATTTTTGTTCTTCTTCATTATCATATCATTCAGAACATTTTGGACAAAGGTTGTCTCATGGTGACCCGCATGAAAGAGAAGAAAACTGCAGTGTTATTTACCAGTATAAGTTCAGTTTGATTCACATGAATTGATAAATCAACTCATTTTGAATCACACTGTTTCTGCTTTTGTATTTAAAGGTGGGACCAGCCAGCGCAACATTTGACCCCATGGGTCAAGGTCGAAGGTCAAACCATGCAGCAGTGGCAAGACAAGTGGACGATGATCGCTACTCGGATCAGACAGCTGGTCAAATGAACGTAAAACACCCTTTAGAAGATGATCGCTACTCGGATCAGACAGCTGGTCAAATGAACGTAGAACACCCTTTAGAAGATGATCGCTACTCGGATCAGACAGCTGGTCAAATGAACGTAGAACACCCTTTAGAAGATGATCGCTACTCGGATCAGACAGCTGGTCAAATGAACGTAGAACACCCTTTAGAAGATGATCGCTACTCGGATCAGACAGCTGGTCAAATGAACGTAAAACACCCTTTAGAAGATGACCTTTTACTTTAAAGAGAGATAGTCGGCTTCTGGTCAAGGTGAAACTAATTTGTGAACATTTTCATTCTTTTTAAAGAGAGTTCTAAGAAAGAGGTGAAAAATGATTTGTGACCATTATCATTCTTATTATGCAAGTGTGGAAGAACATCAGATAAGACATGTTCCCTGAAAAGCATGGCTCTTCAAATGCCTTCATATTATAAATATGTCATGTAACATCGTAAAAATCCAGGGTAGGATTTTTACGCCATGTGTTTGTGTAGTCCCATATACCACTTTCTGTGTACAGTGTTTGTAACTTTACCAAGACTTGGCCAAATTTCTTTTCATTTTGAGGAATCCAGAACCTTGCAATACACACAAATTCTTATATGCTAGATGATCAACCTTTTCTGGTCGATTCCATACCGTTTCTTTCACAATGCAATCGCATGACCAGAACTCAACTTCATCTTTAAGTCTGTTTGGAAGAATATCATTAAAAAATGTCCCCTTACAAGGTACTGCTTTTCAAATGCCTTAAAATGCTCTTAAAGGCATCGTTTAACAATGTTATATCGGAGATGCACGGCCCTACATGTTATCAGAGTCTGTGATATGGTGTGATATTGAAGCTCTAAAAAAATTGTGCTTCAAGATGATCAAGAAGTGCCTCAAAAAAGTAAAACTCTTTGATTGACTGGTTTTACCATACTTGTTTTTCCCAATAAACTGTAGTGTTAGGAAAACCGTTAGGAAAACGCAAAATTTTGTTTCGATTTCCAATCATAAATATCTTGATAATCAGACAGGCAATCGGCTAGTAAAAGACATGGGGTTCCTGACTGACCTAAAGGTTTATAATTATCATTGCAGCATGAGCTAAATCCACGATTTTGTTTCAGAATCTGAGACAAAGTTACCAGATCCCTTTAAATATCACCAAAAAATAGCTGATGATATGTGTGGACCAAAGTTTCATGCCACATGAATGTCTTGTCTCATAGACACAGCTCTGTAGTCATGTATAAGTCATTCTCAGATATTTAGTCATTATGACTGGGAAAGTGACTATTTGGGGGCTGTTTTTTACAAATAAACAAACACCATTCAATACAGATATGATTTCTGATGAATATATAAACTACATGTACTAACATTGTGAGCTTGTATCAGGTGGCTTACTATTTTCCATATGTTAAAGAAAAGATGGAAATGATATGACATATTTTGATAATCAAGATTTTAGAAGTTTCTAATTTTTCTGGAAGACTCGTCAGTAACTGAAACAACAAGATTTGACAGAGGAGTTTTTCATAACCGAATTTAGATGGCAATTTTGATGTTGTCTGGTTGTGGTTGCCCAGCGAGAATAAATTTTGTCAATCTTTCGCCATTTTATTTCTCTGATTTTTCTGCTTTCATACAAATGAAATTATTCCAAGGGTTGGATTGCCCTTTAGTGTTGTGTTGTGGCCCATGCTACACCACTGTACGCGAATGTATAGTCTCCCGACTTGCATGGGTTGATATGATTTTCACTTATATTCTTTTTGGCCCATCGTTGGTATTATGCAGAAAAGATACAAAAACTGATATTTTCACATGTGTCGTAATTATAATGATAATAATAATATGTCTTGTTTACCCAGGGTAGCCTCATTAGTATTAATACTGTACTCTCTGAGGGCCCTGCAATCATATTATTACCCGGCTTTAACCGAGCTACCATTAAAAGGTGCTCAAGCATTTAAGGAATTTCTTCCTACCGGGTGACCCATTTACCTCACCTGGGTAGAGTGTATTTCTTATCGCTGTAAATGATAAAGAACAAAATGTATATTGGATGCATTGCATCGCGTAAAATACACTATTGTAGATTTGACATTTACATTCTACAATGTATACAAAAGTATGTTACACATTTTTCTTGCAAATGTGCATCAAAACCATGTTAAAAAGAAGTGTATTGCATTGTATTGTACTGGTGTGAAGAGAGTGGTTGTTTCTTTTCATAAATTTATCCACTTGACATTTTTTTATACATTGTTTCTCACTACAAATCATGAATAACTGCACACGCATTTTAAGGGGTACTTTTTATTTGTTGGTTTACACAACTTGTTCTCAACCGGCACAAATATTTCAGAGTGATTGTTGAACAATTCATCTAAATATTGAGTTTATTATTAGAAATAAATATTTCTTCTAGATATCTTCAAGAATAGATCCCTCATGACAAATTTGTAGCTAAATGAAGGGGCAAGAAATTGACAATTAGTGAGCTTAATATCTTGGTTTCTGGTAAGGAGTTCTAAATTTCTAAACTGGCTTGTAGATATGATTTAAAACACGTCCAATGTGCTTATATTGTAGATGTGAGCTTGTATATATAAATAAATGTTTAATATCAACGACACTTGAGTCTCATTTGCTTCTTACTGTGAACACGTTTCTGGACTTATGCCTCTTAAAGGGGGTGTAGCATGACGATAATATGTGTCTTTCCTGTGGTCTGACTCGGGGGCCAATCAGGTATAATACGACTACGGATGACGCGACCACAGTATGCATGCGCGTGCAACATACATGAAACCGAGCATTTGAGCAGTCTTTTTTTACTGCTTATGCTCTTTGCAATCTGCATCCGTTTGAATAAATTATGCAAACTTTATGTACCTTGAAATGGGACTTTTGCCTTACATTGAAGTATCTCATTGCCCGGACAAACCGTCATCAAAGCAAAAGCAACAAAATTATGAGTTATAACCAGTCTGTAATATCCATACTGCTAGAGAATAAAGTGAAACTGGAAGAGAAGATTTAGAAAGAAAAGAAATATAGAAAATATGATTAAAATAAAAATGAAACTTTAAAAATGAAAATTGAATTATATAATTTAAAACAGTAACAAAAAGTAAATATGACGTTTATTGCTGTAAGAATAACATAGAACTACAAAACTTGTTTAAGTTAATTTAATTTGAACGTTCACAGTGCGAAGGTGTGTGCCTATAATTGAAATTAAAAATATTATTAAGGACGAAATTGAACATAACGCTGGCGCGAAATTGAGTAAAAGCGTTACGTCAATAAATTAAATGGATTTCTCTCTAAATCGAATAAAATAACATTTTAAAGGAATGATATAAAACGAAATCAAATTGAATGCTCTAAGAATGAAAATGAACCATGAGAGCAGAGAGTTGACGAAAATCATTCGAACTTGAACGCCTATATCATGAAATCGAATGAAACTACTCTGATGCAATTGGCCGGGAAAACCTATTTTACCCCAGTCATCGGATTCAGGCTTACCCGCACACAATGTATACACATTCTCTAGTCTCTACTTCCTGGGGAGCATTCCGGCGCGGCGGCGAAATTTTTATTCCCAAACAGGTTTGCAATTTCTTACATTTCCGTTCTTTTGATTGGCTGATATGTTCTACGTCATTAGCAGCTTGGAAACAGGTCACAAACAATTAGACTTTGGTTTTTTTTATTGCTTTGCCTCACTCACTATTTAAAAAGGCAAAAATAGGACAGAAAATTACTGGGATTCGAACCCACGACTCCAAGATTGAATTACGCTGACCTTATCGATTGAGCCAACGATCGATGGGTTGATGAAAAGTGATTCTGCATGATTTCTATAACTCACCCTAACGGTGTCATTGTTAATGACGTAACATATCATGGGGGTGGTAAGAGGACACTTTTTTTTAAAATTGAAAGTTGTAAAGTTACCATGGTTACGATGTTATTGATCTGCTATTCATAACAGCATAGATGAAATCACTTAGCATGCATTATTTGTTACCATGCCTGGCGACCTTTATATCTAGAGTGGCCCAGAGTACATTCTGTTAATTAAAGAACTATACTTAACATTTTATTAAGCTGGCCTATTGTTTGCGATATTTGTGAATTAAAAATTGTAAAGTTGGCATACCTAAATAATAGATTCAATATATAGGCCGGCCAATGAAATTAGAAGCGTTTATTACAAGCTCCGTGAACATTTTTTGTCCTCCGTAGTCCGTAATATAAAATATGATACCGATTTGTGGATAGTTATGCACACTTCTTTCTCTTTTTTTTTGGCCTCGAAATTTGAAAATTTGACATTTTGCTCCGTAGGGGGGGGGGGTATGGTCATTTTTTTTTTAGGTCAGCCATTGGCATAATTTATTTTTTTAATAAAAAAAATATATATTTATCCATTAAAAAAAAACTAAAAGGGGGTAACCCCCCCCCCCCCCCCTGCGTACGCGCCTGCTCCCATCTGTCTAAGCTATATCATTTACACGATCGCAAACACTTTCGCACATGCCAACTGTTTGTATTTGATTTAAAGGGCCACTCTAACACACCTAACATAGCCTTTCAAAACATGAATACACCTCTACTTATTAATATTCCAGCCTCTGATTTCTCAGAAATCTCTAAATTGACCAACAAATTATAATAACCATCCATTTTTCACAGTTCTCACGTTTGCTGGGCTACGTACGCCCCTTGAAAAAAAAAGGTAAAACGGTCACGTGGCCTTAATTGATGACGCATTTGACGTCATTGCGGGCATGTCCGATCTACGTCCTACAACTAAGGATCTTACAATAGGAATGACGAAATTGCCAGAAACGTACTGGTATTATCAAGTGCATATTATTTTTCGGATAAATGTCTTTTTTCCTTTTCAATTAATATCATAGTTTGCCTTTTTAAAGACATTTTAACGCCTAAATCACACTCTTTTTCACTGGAGAGGCGCCTGCAGTGACGTCATATGCTATTGCGCAATACAGCTCCGAAACTGGGCT